ACAATCCCCCCCCCTCCCCAGCACTCCACTGTGCTGCCTTCATTCTGGACTCTTGTCATGACCATAATACCCAACCATATATTGCTTTGAAACAGTTCTGTCCCTCATGTTTCCATGCAGTATACATCATTTATCCCCTCCTTCTCAGTCTCACCCCAACCCTGGTGTCAGTCCCATTCTACAACAGTGACCCTATGCAGTATTTGTCCTTTTGTGACTGAGATATTTCACTCAGCATAAATGTCATCTGGGGTCACCCATTATGAATATTTCTGAGTTCCTTGTTTTTCAGTGCAGCGTAGTATTCCACTGTGTGAATATCAGAGCTTCTCTAGCCAATCGTTTGTTGATACCTCACTAGACTTTTAAAATACAATCCTATCTATATGACAACAATCTAGATGAAGGGATGGGTTTTGGGGGGATGGGAGGGGAGGAAGAAAATGTTCAACAATTAAAAAGAATATAAAACAGTTTTTTAAACACCACAATCATAACACTATTTAAAACAAAACAAAATGACAAAACCTACCCCAAACTCAAACTCACTTCCGTGGAGCTGGAATAGCCTCATAGCTGACCCTCCAGTTCTCTGAGGTTGTGAGTTGCGGGGAGTTGATGGTCCGTCTTTCTCCCTCAGAGCCGCTGATGGCTTCAGACGCTTAGAGAGCTGCTACCTTGGGGTGAGCACAGCTCACTATGGACTGCGCCCTGCACCCCCAGAGCCCCCCTGCACCGCCATTCCTACACACTAGCTCTGATGCTTTAATAGCAAGAGGCTGGTGACTGGTTAGTACCAGCACCTGGCCCATCCCGTGTGATTCGGTTTATCTCTGAGGTATCTCTGATTTCATCTTCAGATCCCACCTCCTCTTCCCTCTTCTCCTTGATGTGTTGGTCAGACCAAATGATTTCATCTTCCTTTGTCACCCAGTGTGTCGTTAGTAAGATGTGACTAACAGCCCAGCTGCTACCATTACAGGTCGGTGTTTGGACCGAGTGAGTTAATGCATGTACGGTGCTTGGAACGTGGTAAGCCCTCTGTTAGGAGGAGCTGTTTCCAGGACCCAGCTGCCAAGCCCTTTGCTGGAGAACTGGTGACTCTGAGACAAGCTTCAGGTCAGGCTGCATCCAGGCACTTCCATGGCTGGAGTCTTTCTCCCTCCGCTCTGCCCAGCCCCTCAGGGTGTGTGTCATCCCCTGGCAGACCCTCTCCACAAAGTGGCAGAACTGTCCACCCTGCAGCCTCTTCCCACCTCCTCAGGCCCCATCACAGAAGGCAGGAGTGACTTCTCTCTAGCCTCCCAAAGCCTGGGATTACTGCTTCCTCATCGTGGGATGAACCTTCCCCATGTCTATCAAATCCTGCTCTTAAAGCTTCCCCAGGTGTGGGAAGGAAGGGGACAGGAGGGACTCACAGAAGAGGCAAAACAAAGTTTCTGCATCTATTATGCATTCAAGGATCCAGGGGGATGCAGTTGTGTGTTGTGTTGTAACTGAAGGGTCAGCAGTTCAAATCCACCAGGCATCTGTAGTCTCCTTTTGTGAAGATTTATAACTTCAGAAACCCACTCTTGGGCATAGTCTTCTTGGCTATTGTTGTTAAGTGCCATCGAGTTGAGTACGACTCATAACAACCCTATGAACAAAAGCTCTGAACCCTGTTCTAGAACTATCATGACTTCTCAATGTTCACAGAATTTCCAAAGGCCTGTTGTTTAGGAAGTGGATGCCATTCCAAGCCTGTCTTAATCTGGGAGCTCCACCAAACCCTGTCCACCGTGGGTAACCATTATGGCATTTGACACACCAGTGGCACAGTGTTCAGTATCACAGCAACCCCAGTTTCTCTCAGTACAGCAGACTGACAAGTAATATACCACTTAGAACAATACTCTTCCCAAACACAATCAACAGCAGGCCCGAGGGCCACAGACTCCAAACTGGAGATTTAGCTAATGAAACAAAAACCAACCCAACAGTTTTCACCAACTTTCAACTAAGTCAAGAGAACCTACCCTCCAGAATCCAACTGCTTCGTGCATGAGCCTCCAAACTGGAGACACTCAGGGCCCAACCAACTTTTAAATACTAAGGCTCACCAGGTTCTGATTGACTTAAACAAGAGGCTTCCGGCACATAGCTGATCGTTGACTAAATCCTGGTGACCAATCAGCTTACACACGTTTGTCAACAAACAAAAAAAGACCCAACAGTTTACACCCTACTTTCAGCTGATTCAAGAGAGCCTACTCCCCCAAATCCAGCAACTTCACACATGAGCCTTCTTGGCTCTGGGTGTTCTCAACTTCCTGACAGCCTCTGGTTATGTTAAAAATACACTAGTGTTGTTTATTTACACAATTAAGATGATCACGTCCCTGCATTGCATGTAGACATTCCAAGTTCTAGTTTAAAACCCTCTCGTGTTGGGTTGAGCCTCTGGACAGTTCTGGTCCTTTCAGCCATCCACACACGGAAGTGCACGCGCGTGCCTGCAGACGTGATGAACGTGACCCCCTCCAGCAAGTGAATTCTGACTCATCTGACCCTGTGTGATGGAGGAGGACTGTCCCATGGGGTTTCCTCAGCTTTAAGGCTTTATGGAAACTGACTACCACACATTCCGCCCTCGCGCAGAGCTGCTGGTCGAAACCCCCGACTTCTCCGCAGCCAAGCTCTGAACCGCTGAGCCACCAGGACTTCTTATTAGCACTTCATTCCTTTTAGCCTCTCAGGTGGAACTTGTGTAGCAAGTCATTAACGTGTGACTTCTTATCTTCTGTTCATCTGCCTGTTGTTATTGTTGTCAGGGGCTGGCGCATAGCAACCTCACGTCCACCACAGTGACGCTGCCCCGGCCTGTGTCACTGCTGGGCTTGTGCCCGTTGGTGGGGCCCCCATGTCCGCTCACCACCCTGAGGGCTTTCCTCTTTTTCACTCTACAAAACCATCCATGGGTTAAAAGCTGCTGCTGTCGAGTCGGTTCTGACCCACGTCGCCCCATCAGGTTTCTGAGTCTGTAAATCCAAAGGAGAGGAGATGGCCCCATCTTTCCCACTTGGAGTGGCTGGTGGCTTTAAACTACTGACCTTTGCGTTTACAACCCAGTGCTCAGCCAGCTGTGCCACCAGGGCTGACAAGGCTCTTTCTCTACATGTTACTGATGTTAAAGACAATTTCCTCCCGGGGGATTTACAGCCTCTAAAACCCGCTGGAGGGTCAGCTATGAGTCAGTACCAACAAGATGACACGGATTCTTGTTTTAGAAAATAATAAATTGTAGATTAAGATATTTGATGGACTTTCCCCTATTTAGAAAGTGTGTGTGTAGTAGTAGTAGTAGTTCTTGTTGTGTATCATAGAGTCTGAATGAACCAACCCATAGCTGACCCTCCAGTGGGTTTTCAGAGCCAGTTAATCGCAAGGGAGGAGACTGCCTGTCTCCCACAGAGTAGCTGGTGGCCTCAAACCATGTGCCTTTGGGATTGCTGCACAGCTTCTCACCACTAGGCACCAGAGCATATATAAATCTATTTACAAGGCTGGCTAGCGGGATATGATATTCAGAACAAGATAGAAATAAATAGATGCATGAAGAGAATTGATGCCTTTGAGTTACGATGCTGGAGAAAAGTATTGAATATATATACCATGGACTGCTAGGAGATCAAACAGGGTCGTCCTGGAGAGGGTGAAACCAAGCTGCTCCTTGGAGGCAAAGATTCTGAAGCTCTCTCTGACATACTTTGGACATGTTGCAAGGAGGGACCAACCAGTCCTTGGAAAGGGATGTCATGCTTGGAAGGTGGAAAGACAGTGCAGGAGAGGAAGACCCTTGATGAGATGGATTGACTAAGTTACTGGGGTATTGGAGGTAGGAGTGTTAGAGACGATGAAATTGGCTCAGGATAGAGCAGGGTTCAGAGCTGTTGTACACAGGGTCAATATGAGTTGAAGTTGATTGGACAGCACATAACAACAACAATATAAAACTGGAAGCATAGAATTTCAGTTTAATAGATGCTCACCCTTAAAACACAGACTTCCATCTTGGTGTGACAATGGCTTGATACACTTGCATCTTTCTCTGCTCTTTACTTTGTACCCCACATCTTGTTGCAAATTGTTAAATTGTCATCCGTACAATGTCTAACCATACATTCCTTTCAGATCGCCCTTCCCTTCGTGCCAATCCACCTGGTTAGGGTCTCCTCCGTAGTGGTCATGGTCTGTCCTTTGCATTGCAAGCAGCACCGCCAGGTCTCCAGTTGTACGACTTGTGCCTGTACGTGTGCTGGGATCAAATGCTTCTGTGAGCCCTCCGTCATCACCACCTCAGCCTCATGACTCATTACTGCGGTGAGGGATCCTGCTTTTCTTCCTTAAATGGAACTCACTATTTGCTCTTCTTCTTGTTGTTGTTGTTCACTTTGGCTTTGTTTTCTTGGTGATTTTTTTGGTTCCATGTTCAAGGAGTTCCAGCCAGGAAGCAGGCCCTCTCCCCCACCCCAGGCCCCCACTCCTATCTCGAGTCTCCACACAGCCTTCCTGAGATGACTCCCCACTTCGCCTGGCTCCGCCCTGCTCTCTGTGATCTCCACTTTGACTTTTTTTCTGAGTCAGCTTGTGTTTATTTTCTAGGTCCATTTCCCCTCCTCGTACTCTCTGCGGCACCCCAGTCCCACAGCCCCAACGTTCATTCTCAAAAAACCCAAACCAAACCATTGCCCCGACAGCAGCCCCACGCGTGCAGAGAAGAGCAGTTCTCCATGTGGTTTCCATGACCCTGTAGAAGCTGGTCACCAGGACTTTCTTCCAGGTGCCTCTGAGGAGATTCAGGTTCCCAGTGTTTCAGTTAGTGTCTCATGCAGAGGACCCCGGCAGCATTTTTAAAACGCAACTTTGGGGATTCTGTTCAGCCCTTGCTTTCCGGCCCTAAGACCCATGAGACCTTGGCTGGGGGAAAACGGGAGGAAAAACAGGAAAGGCTGATGGAGATGGGAATGGGAGAGCCGAGGCAGGTCTCACAGGAGGCAGAGCTGGAGCCCAGCGCCGGAAGGTAAATGTGTTTAACAGGGGGCTTCAGACATGAGCAAGAAAGGGAAACCAAGCCCGCCGCTGGGGAGCTGATTCCGACTCTAGGTGACCTCTGTGTCAGGGAGCACAATGTTCCCGTGAGGGTTCGTGGCTGTCGTCTTCACAGAAGCAAAGAGCTGGGCCACTCCAAGGGGTTCGAACCGCCAACCTGGAGCTCCTCAAGGTCAGTTCATCCTGAGTGTCAGGCACTGTGCCAGGGTCACTTAGGGTCTTCTCTAACATAGCATCTAAATGCAGGTGGGAAAAAAAAACAACAACAAAACCTCAGTGGTGCAGAAGGCTAGGCACTGAACAGCTAACTGAAAGGCCCTTTGAACCCCCCAGCTGCTGCATAAAACAAAGTCATAAAACTCAACAGCCTTGGAAGCCCAATGGAGCAGTTTTACTCCACCCTGCAGGGTCGCTGTGAGCGAGAATCCACTGGCTGAGGAGTGTTTGTTTTCAAGACTGAGCGAGTGACGCCGAATTGTAGAGCCCCTGGTGCTTCGCTCCATCCCGGAGGAGACTGGGCCCGCGGCTCGGCTCTGCTCAGGTCAGCACAGGCAGTCAGTGGTCAGGAGCCCAGTTAATGGTGATCAGCCGAGGCCGAGAGCAGAGGGCCCGGGGCTGGGGCCGGGACACACAGGGCTGTGTCATGTAGCCAGCCAGCCCGGGGCCTTCTCTCTTGGAACAGGAAGCAAGGAAGGATTAGGACCACGAGGAGACACTAGAAGGTGTCCCAGTGACTCCCCCCACTCAGTAAAGCACTCAACTCCTAACTGCAAGGTTGGTAGTTCAAATCCACCCGACAGACAGAAAGACCTGGCTCTGTTCCTGTGAGATTACAGTTCAGGAAGCCCTGTGGGGTCAATTGACTCACATCGGCTCACTAGGGATCGACTCCAAGGCACCCAGCCCATAGGGGCCTCTAATGGGAAATGTGCTGGGTCTGTCCCGGGGTCTGCTCCTCGGTCCCCAGGGCCCAGCGTGCCTCAGTCCTGACACTTGGCTTCTCAAAATAGGAACTTCATCCTCTAAAGCAGAAGGGTGGTTTTTGGGTTGGTTTGGTTTTTTTTTTTCTCTTCCCTTGTGGTTTCACCCAGCAAATGCTACAGACAGCACTTCGAGCAAGACCAAGCCCTGAGGTGGGGTGGGCGGGCTTGGGCCCCTCCCTCCGTCCCCTTGTTCGCTGGCCCGGGCAGAGGAGCAGCCAGAGAGGCCGGGAGGTTGCTGTTGACAGGTTCCCACGTGTTGTCAGCTCCATGGAAGTCCGCTTCTGAGAACGGGCCAGGCGGGCGGTGACGTTGCACAACCCCCCCTGAAGCCGGAGCCAGGACACCAGTCACCGCACAGACACCCAGTGGTTCTGCTCGCAGCAGCATCATGCGGGGCTCCAGCACCCCGGAGCGGGGGCCCAAGGTGAGTGGGCGCGCGGCCAGCGGGTGAGGGTCGGAAGAACACTGACCTGTGTCCACAAGGTCTAGTGGGGGTCCGGGAGGGATGCTGGTGACCTGCGACCCGGAGAGGGACAAGCTTAATATAGGTGTGCTGTTGATGGACACTCTGGAGCTGGCTGTACCTCGGCGACTTTGTGTGACAAAGGAGACTTGCCCAGAGAGTCTCCTCAGTGCTGGTCTTCACGGGAGCAAAGGGCTGTTTTCCAAACTCGCTGGGTGAATGAGCAGCTGCCAGGGCTCATTGAATGGGGGCAACTGAAGTGCTGTGAGAAATGTCCCTGTGGGTCTAGTCTGGACGTGGGTGAATTGGCTAGATGATAGAAGCCCCCTTGCTGGGGTGGATGCATCTGTCACACCAGGTCCATTCACCTTCCAGCAAAGGGCTTGACCAGGACGTTTCTCAGCCCAGCCAGCCCTGCTCTCCTCCTGCTCCATGGGGCCACTACCTACCCAGCACCTCCCAGTGAGTTCCTTCCACACTGGCTTTCCAGGAGCAGAGCTTGGACCTGGGCTACATACAGGCTGCAGGCTGAGTCCAGAGCAGGCGGTGTGCCCAATCCACGCTCAGTCATTTGTGTGCTGACCTGTGGGACCCGAGCCAGAATCTCAGCGAGGTGCTATTGAGAAGTTGGAAATGGCTGTCCCCCAAAAATGAAATTACTCAGACACAGCAAAGTTGGTCGATCTTAAATTTTAAGTAGAAGAGAAATCAAGAAATGAAAGTTACTAAGTAGGGAACCTGCTTAAATGAATGAAATGTTTATAGTTACAGTAATCATAATATTATAAAATAAGGGGCACGGCTGGAACTTATGTCTGAATAAGTCTCTTTTATGTAGACTGTGTGTAAATATTGTGCTGACCCTAGCATTTTGTCCCAATGTGGTATGTGGCGTTTGTTTTGTTTTTACTTTTTATTGCGATTTGGGTCAATTGGCTTCCATTCAACAATTCATGCATATTATGTTTTGTGATACGGGTTACAGTTCCCACATTGGAGTTCTGGTGTGTAGCCAGTAGCGAGCTGCACTGTTAACTCAAAGGCCATGGGTCTCTAGGGGTTAGAATCCACCAGCAGCTCCAAACGAGAAGGCTGAGCAGTCACCTCCTGTAAATTAGGATTTACAGCTTTGCAAAGCCAAGGGAGGGTGGCTGTGCGCCAGAACCCACGTGGGGAGTGAATCTGTGTTGAGTCTGAGATGGCTTCCTCCTCCGTTCATCCTTCTTATCTGCATTCTGTGTTTGCTCACCAGGCAAACCCGGCCTTTGAATGTGGTATGGCTGATGTTTCTAAGGAGTGTGATCCTCTCCCGCTGTTACAGGCTCCACCCTGCTGTGATTGGCTCCGCCCCCCTGTGATTGGCTCCTCCCCACTGCGATTGGCTCCACCCACTGTGATTGGCTCCTCCCCACTTTTATTGGCTCCTCTCTGTTGTGATTGGCTCCTTCTTGCTGTGATTGGCTCCTCCCTGCTGTGATTGGCTCCTCCCTGCTGTGATTGGCTCCTCCCCACTGTTATTGGCACTGCCTGATGTTATTGGCTCCACCCCACAATCATTGGCTCCTCCCCACTGTTATTGGCTCCGCCCTGCTGTTATTGGCTCCACCCCACTGTTAATGATGACCTTGCAGACCTGTTTCTCCGCATTTGTTCCAGGATTGAAAGGTGACCGAGGCCCACCCACAGTCTTGGCGATAATCGGTCTCTCCAGGCCTGTAAGCCTGCATCCTGTAGAATTCTTACTTTTGTTCCATGTCCTTCCACTCCTCCTGTGAGGAACGTAGTTCATTGCATGGGAGGAGATTGCCCATCCTTCTGTTGCAGAGCAGCTGGTGGCCTCGAACCATGTGCTTTCACAATTGCAACACAGTTCCTTGCCCCTAGACCACCAGAGCTCCCGAGCATATCATTACATAAGTTTGTTTTCCTCATTCTTCATTGCTGTCATGTAGGCAGTGACTCATGGCCGACCCTCCAGTAGGTTTTCAGAGACAGTCAATCTTATGTTGCTGTTGTTGTTGTTGTTATGTGCCGTCGAGTCATTTGCGACTCATAGCGACCCTATGTACAACAGCCCTAAACCCTGCTCTGTCCTGTGCCAGTTGCACTGCCTCTGACACACCCATCCCGATTACCCCAGTCACTGAATCAATCCATCTCATAGAGGGTCTTCCCCTCCTGCGCTGTCCCTCCACCCTCCCAAGCATGATGTCCCTCTCCAAGGATCTATCCCTCCTTGCAACATGCCCAAAGTATGTCAGACGAAGCCCCAGAATCCTTGCCTCCAAGGAGTAGCTTGGTTTAATCCTCTCCAGAATGAATCTGTTTGTTTTCCTGGCAGTCCATGGTACATTCAATACTTTTCTCCAGCACTACAGCTCAAAGGCATCAATTCTTCTGTCCTCCCTAGTCATTGTCCAACTCCCTAATGCATAACAAGTGATTGCAAAGACCATGGCCTGTATCAGGCGCACCTTAGTCTCCAGAGAAACACCGTTTCTCTTGAGTACTTTAGAGGGGTCCCTAACAGCAGACTTTCCCATCAAACAATACGTTTTTTGATTTCCTGACTGCTGGTGCCAAGAGTGTTGACCATGGAGCCGAGCAAACTGAAGCTGTGAACAGTCTCAATCTCTTCGCCATCCATCCTGATGCTACCAATTGGTCCAGTGGTGAGAATCTTGGGGGGGGGGGCAGTAATTCTCGCGTGGAGCAGCTGATGGATTCAGACATGTAGTCTAGAGGACGTAGGTCAATCCTTGACAATACTAAAATCCACGTCTCTGTACACATTTTCCCCAAAAATCATTATGTGTCACTCTAGTAAATGTCCAGGAACCCAAGAGGGAAAGGAGGCCTGGCATTTGTCATCCTTTATCTCCCGGGCATCTCTGGAATTCCATTGTGTCTTAAACCTCTTCCCACAGGGTCTGTCCTCTCCCCAAACAGTAGAGGCTCGCGCCTGCCCTTAAAGTCAGGTGGGTGCTTTCTCATTTTCTAAAGAACAAGGGTCTCATCACGCTGAAGAGAATGCACCGTCCAGGAAACCCATCCGGCTGCACTGGTGTCTCATGCACGCACGTTCAGCTTCACATCCAGCCTCAGTCAAAAACACATTCCTTTCAATTCCTTTGATTTCATCTCAACTCAGAGTGAAATGTTTGTAGACTCACTCAAGGAAGGGCAACGGCAAGACTTAGAATCGAGACAAAAACAAATCTTCAGCATTTCCAAGGCTGCTCAGAGGCTGCCCGGCCACCTCTGCATCTGCTGAGTCTGGCCGGGCTGTGACCAGATCCACTCGGTGCTGCTAGACACAAGAGCTGGCTCAGGCTCCAGCCTCTCCGTGTGCTTCTACCAGCTCTGAGGAGGCAAAATAAGATCTCAGAGACCAGTTCGGAGTCTCCCCTTACTGTTCTCTGCGGCAGAGCGCCCCTCCCAGGCACTCCCTGGACCACCTGACGTCCCTGCTGCCCCGGCTGCACGGCACTCACCACTGTCCACATCACCTCAGTCTTCCTTTCTCTTGGCAAACTGAAAGGGTCTCGTCTCTGTCTGCTCACCTGCCATTGTCTGTCTCCTCTACAAAGTGAGCACACAAGGGACAGAGCACGTCTTCCATGCTGGCCTCTCGGGCCGGAGCTGACCCAGCACAGCCCAACTGTCATCCACTGGAGCCCAACTCACGGCGACCCTGTAGGACTCTAGCACCGCCCCCCCCCCCGGGGGCTTAGCCAGCAGCCCTGTCTTAAACCTGTGGATCTTCTCAGTTAACAGCCAGTGCTAACTGTGTGTGTGTGTGTGTGTCTTCTCAGCAGACAGTGCTAACAGTGTTTGTGGGTGTTTGTATCTTCTCAGCAGCTAGTGCTAACAGTTGGTGTGGGGTGTGTAAGTGCAACGCACGTGTTCTGAGAGTGCTTGCTGACTAAACACTCTGTGTGTTTACTGAACGCTGTAGGAGCGGGCACGTGTGTACGCATTTCCTAACCCCCGTGTGAACGTGTGTTGAGTTGTTTCGTAAACACTGTGGGGACGTGTAGTGAGTGGACAGAATGCTCCCCAACGCTCTGAGGGTGTGTGTGAGTGTTCACTAAAGGCTGTGAGAGCATGCGTGTGAATGGACAGAGAGCTCACTAACCCCCTTGCGATGGTTACTAAACACTGAGCACGCGTGTTTAAAGCTGACCATTGTGTGAGCGCATGTGTGAGGTTACGAGACGTCAGGCTCGGTTCTTGCCACATGGGCCGCCGGGGGACAGGCACGCCACTTCCTGGTTGTCAGCCTCTGAGAACAGAGGTCAGTGCTGACTCTCAGCCTCTCTGGCCCTGGCCTGACCTGAACTCGTGGAAACGAGCCCCTGCCTTAGATTTGAACTGTAGGAATTGAACTCCCAGTGACAAGGAACTGTGGCCTCTGTCCCACCTTGGCCAGTGACGTCATGTCTTCTTGGTGGCACAAGGAGAATTGATCCAGACCTAGAGTAAACCCAACTCACTGTCCACTGTTCATCCATTCTCCCCATGAAGGATGACTGGGCCTGAGGACTTGGGGGTGATCACCGGGGGCCCAGAAGGACAGTGAAGACAGAATGGTCATGATGTCACAGAGAAAACATAACCAAGTGAGCTTTGATGGAGATGAAGCAGGAAAATCCCTCTGCAAGGTACCGATGTGCGGTGACCTGAATAGTGGGAAGGACGTTCGAGGCAGAGGGAACAGATGGTGGAGAGTTCGAGGCCGCCGGCTGATTCATGGTGGAAAAAAGGGCAGTTTCCTCCTGTGAGATTTTCAGCCTCTGAAAACCTGCTGGAGGGCCAGCTGTGGGTCAGTTCCAACACAGCAGGGTCCACAGCTGGATGTCAGAGGGCTCTGATGACGCAGACACTGAGCGCTTGGCTGTTCACGCAGTGGGAGGCTCAGATCCGTCCAGCTCTCTGCAGGGGAAGCCTGGCGTCTGCTGCTGGGAAGACTCCGACCCAGCAGTCCCTGTGGGGAAGGTCTGCTCTGTCACGGGGGACGGGGGGCGTCAGGTCCAGCTCCGACGCACAACAGTGAAACCCTGCACCGTCCTCCCAGTCTCCGCTGCCCCTTAGCCCACGGGGGCAGCACTGTGTCCGCCATCCTGCTGAAAGCCCTCCTCTTCGGCACTGGTCCTCCTCGTTTCTGAGCCTGATGCTCTTCTCCAGGGACTGATCCTTCCTGACAGTGTGCCAGAAGTTGATGAGATGAAATCTCAGCCCGCTTCCATTGAAGGAGCACTTACTTCTTCCGAAACAGATGTGTTTGTCCTTCCTCCGGCAGTCTGTACTGTGTTCAGTACTCTTCGCCAGTCCTACGATTCAGAGGCACCAGTTTTCCCCTCAGCGTTCCAGTTCATTGTCCAGTTTTCACATGTGTATGAAGCAACTGAAAACACCATGATTTGGGTCAGGCTCACCTTAGTCTTTAAATGGACATCCTTTCTCTTTAGTCATTTAAAGAGATCCTTGGCCACTGATTTGCCTAATGCACTACACCACTTGATTTTTGTTGTTCCCGTGGCTGTTGACAGTGGGTCCAAGTGAAATGAAATCATTGACAACATCAGCCCATTTATTATGCTGTTTATTGGTCCAGTTGTGAAGACTTTTGCTTTGATGTTGAAGAATAACCCATACTCCTCTAACTAACTCCTTCAGTCTACGACCTATCCTGAAGGCTGGGTGGTCTTCATCAAAGGGAGTCAGTAGGAGTCAAAACTGACTAGATGGCACCAAACAACCTCAACAGTGACATCTAAATGCCACGGGGGGCAAGGGTCTGCTTCTGTTTCTCAAGAGTTATTGCATTGCCATTCTGTTTAATTTAAGAAAATCACTTAGTCTTTATTTTCTTCCTTGTTTAGTAATTCCTATTCTTTTAAAATTGTATGTCACTAAAAAAAAAGAAGAGATAAGCAGAACAGCAGCACTGGCCTGATAAGATTAAGAAAACCAATTCCAGTGGCTGCTTTTCCACCTCGCAAAGGGCAGTGGCCAGTCGGATCCTGGAATGGGGAAGCACCATAGCAACTGGACAGTCACTTTGGAGCAGCGATGACTAAGGGAGGAAGTGACAAGGGCCTGAGAGGGAAGGACTTGAACAAGGAAGGTGGGAGGCTGGTAAAAAAATAAAAAATTAAAAAAACCAAATGAAAAAAAAACTCCATGCAGCGTGTTTTTAGAAAATAAGCTGCAAAAAGGAGAAAATGGGGTTTTAGGAACAATTTCCAAGTCTGTGGCCCAGAGACCATGTGTGCAGGAGTCGGGTACTCTGGCGTCCACCCCACAAGAGTGTGAGGAAGGTGCAGAAGATGTTGGTAAAATGTGTGTTACCTGTAGCCGGAGCTGCACCTTCATGCCAGCCACCTCTGGGCTCCCCACGCTCTGAGAGGCCTCTCAGAGATGCGTGCAGACCCCTGGAACCCCCCTTGTGGGCACGTGTGGGCTCCTTGGCCTCTCAAAGATGCATGCAGACCCCTGGCATCCCCTCGTGGGCGTGTGTGGGCTCCTTGGCCTCTCAGACACGTGCAGACCCCTGATACGTCCTTCATGGTACATGTGGGCTCCTTGCCCCCTCTTCCAGAGAGCATACCTCCATGACCCTCCTAGTCATCAGCTGATCCCAGCTCGAGAGAGTACATGACAGAGCAGAGCTAGGTCCCACGAGGCCTCTTCACGGAAACACATTACTCTGTCTGTCTCTCATAGCATCACTAGGTGGGTTCGAGCCATCAAGTCAGGTGATAGATGTCATGGTCTGCTCCCCTCACAGCCACCCCACATGCACCACCAAGGCACCCTGTGGGGCCCACCCATCCTCGTAGGCCTTGCTGGTTTGAGTCCATGGCTGCAGCCACTGCCTCGGTCCGTCTCCTCAAGGGGCTTCCTCTTTTCTCTGACCCCCTTCTTTGCCCCCCGCATGCTGTCCTTCCCCGGTGACAGTGAGTGTAAACCGTTTGTGCCGCGTCTGTGCTGCGTCAGGGACCTGGGAGAGCGAAGTAGCTTCTCTTTCTAGAAACTGGTTCTTTCTTCTGGAGATCCAGTGCAGATTTGTTTACAGGCTGAGTGCCGTCTGTCGTGGGGGAGACGGGGGAGGTAGAGAAGGAGAAGCGGAGGGAGAAGGGCCCCTCTCCTAGGAGGTGTCTCCCCCACTTAATAACAAGTAGAGGCTGCTGCTTTATGAAGTGCTTGATTCCAAACCTAAACTCACCGCAGTTGAAGGGGGGAAGTGGATTGAGTCCATTCCTACTGGGGTGCTCCCTGCTGCTTCTGTCTCACCCTGACATTTCCCAAAGGGAGGAAGCAGTAAGCCTTGGGAGTGAACATGAGGTGAGAAGCATTTGTCAGCCTGCCTTCCCCCCAGACACAGCTTGAGATGGGCTGGGTCGGGGTCCACAGCCGAGCAGAGAGCCGAATCAGTGCCAAGAGAATGAGGGATGGGATGGGGGAGCCTACCCAGAGCTCCGTGCCTCTCTGAAATCCCAGGCCAGCCAATCCCAATTCACAGACCCTCACAGACAGGGTAGGCATGCACCCTGAGGTTTCTAAAGCTATTAACTTACAGAAGGCGACTCCTTGTCTTTCTCCCAAGGAGCAGCTGCTGGGTTCGAACCACTGGCCTTCTGGTTGGCAGCCTGAGGTTTAATCCACTGCACCAACAGGATTCCTACCTGCCTTCCTGTTACCTCCTAAAATGGCACTGGAAGCACATGGGAATTCTGTGACCACACACCCACCTCAGTTTGGCCCCTTAACCCCCTGGTGCTGGCTTTTCATTCTTCCTGGTCATTCAGATAAGAAAGCATAGACCCCTGATGTCCAGATTATTGAGAAGCAAGGGGGTCAGTTTGAGGACCAAAGTGTACCTGATTCAGTCCCTTGCAGTGCATGTGAGACCTGGACAGTGACTGAGGATGAGAGAAGGGCTGATTCCTTTGAATCGTGTTGGAGAAGAGTGCTGAGTATCCCGCTTTCCGCCGTCTCTCCATGCCGCCACAGTGGTGCACATGCACGTCCTGGCCCACGCTCTCAAGAGCATCAACAACGCCGAGAAGAGAGGCGAGCGCCAGGTTCTCGTCAGGCCGGGCTCCAAAGTCATCGTTCAGTTCCCGACCGTGATGAGGAAGCACGGCTACGCTGGCGGATTTGAAATCACCAATGATCACAGAGTGGGGAGAACTGCTGTCCACCTCACAGGCAGGTTAAACACGTGTGGCGTTCTCAGCCCCAGATTCAATGTGCAGCTCAAAGATCTAGAAAAGTGGCGGAATCATCTCCCCGTCAGTTCAGTTTCATTATACTGAAAACCTCAGCTGGCATCATGGACCATGAGGAAAAAGATGAAAGCACACAGGAGGGAAAATCCTGGGATTCTTCTTCTGGGGATGTAATAAATAGTGCAAATAAAATGCCTCAATGGGGGAGGGGGACAGGGGAGAAGAGTGCGGACTGTCCCGTGGGCGCCGAATGAACAGCCTTGTCTCAGAGAAGGTGCTGCCGCAGTGCCCCTAGAGGCAAAGATAATCAAGCTTTGTTCCACATACTTCTTGCACATACATGATCCCAGGACAGGTTTCTCCTTGGAGACAGACATCATGCTGGGGAAGGGGGAGGGATGGCGAAGGAGAGGAAGATCCTCGACGGGTGGGTTGACACAGTGACCGCAGCCAAGGACTTGAGTCTATCAGAGATTGTGTGGACGGCTCAAGACCCTCCAGGGGTCAGATCTGTGTGTATAGGGTCACCGTGAGGCGCACTCAACTCGACAGTCCCTAACAACAAGTGATGTCCCAGGTGACTGCAGGTGTACACAGAACACTTTCTTAGCTCCAGTGTATTTGCCGAGTTCTGGAAACTGAACGTGCACACTCAGGCTGCCCTTATACAGGCACTGTGGCCTGGATGGCATAGTCTGCGGGGAGCTGGCTGTCACCCCAAGGCCCTGCCTCCCTGGTGCTCAGAACCCACCAAGGGCTTCTCAGGAGAAAGACAGACAGTCTTCTGTGCCATTTACAGCTTCCTGGGGGGAGGAGTCAGCAATGAGATGAAGGAGCCCTCGTGGTACTGCATCAGGTACCCAGGTTAACAGGAAGGTGCATAGTTCGAGCCCACCATCTGCCCTGAAGGAGGAGGATATGGCAGCCTGGGAGCCTCTGAGGGCACTCTGTCCTCCCAGCCACCCTCCAGGGTCGCTGTGAGGCAGAACCACCGACCTGGCAGCAGTGATTGTGGTTTCACTACTGTTGGAGGGTTTCCACCTGTCATCTCCAGAGGAAGCATTCTGGTGGTGCAGGGGCTAAATGCTCAGCTGCTAACCAAAAGGTAGGTGGTTCAAACCCACCAGCTACTCTGTGAGAGAAAGTTGAGGCCGTCTGCGTTCGTCCGTCCAGGCCACGGTCTTGGCAACCTCTTCCTCCAGGGCCACTGTGAGCTGGGATCCATTTCCGCAGCAGGCTTAGGGGGAGGTTGTTTCTTTCATTTGGCTCATCTTAACACTCTACAAATGAGGTACATGGGATGTAACAGAAACCTCGCAGCTGCTGGGAGGCAGAAGCCTGGGGAGCACAGTCTCAGACAGCCGCTCCCGACTGGGGTGGGTGTGACTGCACGTGGCTGTCTGTCGTCTGGAGCCATCAAGCGGATGAACCCGTGTGACAGAGTGGCGAGAACTGCCCCATCAGGGTCCCTAAACTGTCCTTTCTGCAGGAGGAGATGGCCAAAGCTTGTCGCTCACAGAGCCCCTGGCTGGGTTCAAACCACCAACCTTTCAGTCAACAGCCAAGCATGTAGCCACTGTGCCCCCTCGGTCCCTAGAGAGGGCTCTCTTGGCTGCGTATTTCAATCCTGAGCGTCTGCACCGAGGGCCCTGGTTCTCCACCTCCCTCGCCTCAGCCCGCACCTTCACACACATGAAGGTGGTTGGTAAACAGTGGGGGATCAATGGATCATCGACGGATCAATGGATCACCGACAGTGCGTTTGACCCTGGATCCCAGGAGCCGCACCTACCCCACAGCCTCCATGTCTGTGCGAGTCCTGACGGCCTACCCGGATGTGGCTCCAGAAGGTTTTCCTGATGGACGCAGACACCCAGGACTTTCTTCAGCAGTGCCTCTAGGTGGGGTTGAACCATCAACTTTCTGTGTGAGAGCCAAGCGTCCACCATTTGTTGTTGCCCAGGGGCCTGATGCCACAAACAGGAAGTACAGTCCAGCAAGACGTACACCAACTGGAAACCACAGTGTCCAGGCACCGAGGAAGAGCTGATTTCATTTCCACCAAGTGGCTGTGGAATTTTTTTTCTGTCCACAACTTCTTCTTCAACGTCCCATTAGTACAGTCCCTTCTGCGGTCCCAGAAGTCCCCTGCCAAGTGTGGCTATTTCCATCCAAACAATTAGAAATCATTCACTGCTGGACCCGTCAGAGTTCAACGTTATTATGGGTAGTTAAGATACATGCTTGTTCTAAAATCTCCCAGCATCCTTTTCCAAAGATCTAGGGAACAAGGACTTGTCCAGGTGTTGGTGTTTTCTCTCAGGTGTGGGTGCTTCTCTCCTGCCCTCCTCATACACCTGAAGGCCAGGTTTACAGCCTCTCTGTTCCCACTGAGTTTTTGGTTAACCCTCCCCCACAGTGGCTAGGAGGATGGGAGGGGCCCCGGGAAAGGCTAGAGAATCCACGTGAAGGGTCGTCCCCTCCTGGGACGGGCCGCTGGTCTCTGTCCAGACGCCTGGAGTGGGCAGCTGCAGACGGCTCTGCTTGGGCACAAGTGTCCCAGGCCCCACACCTGGTGGCATTCCAGCCCAAAGTGGCACGTCAAGACGGCCCTTCACAAGTGAGTTCTGGGCACGACCTCCAGGGCAGGACTATACCCCTTACAAACCGCTCCCCTAAGGGCCGAGATGAAGGTGAGTACATCCGAGTTCTCTCTTCCTGCATGCATTTTCTGTGACTATTTGATTTGTTGAGACCCTAGGCTAACCGTATAAAGTGTTTCCTCACCTGGTTCTTCAAAACGGGCGCTCGCTCCTAAGGAAAGGAACCCTGGTGGTGTAGTGTGTTATGTGCTGGGCTGCTAACTGAAGGTTGGGCGGTTCAAATCCACCACCTCAGGAGACAGAATGGGCAAACTCTTCCTGCAAGAGTCCCAGCCTCATCTACCCAGCCGGCCCTGCAGCAGTGGGCGACTAAAGGAAACCGTGAGAAGCGACGTTTCCCAAAGAGCTGCCGTCCCAGGAGACGCAGCTGAGAGTGGAGTCAGGCCTGGGTTTTGAAACAAGAGAAAATGTTGTATTTTGTTTGCCAAGTTAGTCTTCACTGGAAGTTTCTCTTTGTTTCTTTTCATCGTAATGGAGTGCGACAGAGAAACATAGCTGAGGAGAGAGGTTTTGGGGTCACCGTTTTGAATCCATGTTTCCAGGTCACTGTCTGCACATTTTGCAGCTTTTGAGAATGTTCGGCCTTTTCCTAAAGGGGAGAGGGGAGCTGAAACTCAGCCGTTTTTCTGGTCTCCTTAGCAAATCCCGGTTAATGACACAAAGGCGGTGGTTTTCCATCAGCACTTCTTGTTTAACACTCTACTAAATGGTTTGGGTTTTTGTAAAGCCAGCTCCCGGAGAAACATGTTTTCTTTGCATTAGAGGATGAGACAAGAAGTTCCTCAGCTGTCACCTCTTGGAAAAATCTCAACTATTTCTGAGCATGAAATGCAGATTATTGAAACAGAGCTGCCTTGAGGTTTTCAAAACCGCAAATGAGTTCTCTCCCTACATTGTTAGGTGCGGATGAGGCAGCTGGGGCTCTTGTTGTTGTCGTTGTCGTTGTCGTTGTTGTTGTTGTGAGGTGCCGTCAAACTGAGTCTAACTCAGCTACCCAATCAACACCAAGTCTGAGCCCTGTCCTGTCCTGTGCCATCCTCACCATCTGTGACGTACTTAAGCCCATTGCTGCAGTCAGTGTCCCTCCATCTCATGAGGGTCTTTCTCTCTTTCGCTGACCCTCCAACTTTTCAAGTACAATGTCCTTTTCCAAGGAATAGCCTGTCCTAACAACACATCCAAAGTACGTGTGACAGCTTCACCATCTGCGCCTCCAAGCAGCACTCTGGCTTCACCTTTTCCAAGACATATTTGTTTATTCTTTGGGCAATCCATAGGGTATTCAGTGTCCTTCTCCAACACCACAACTCAAAGGCATCGATTTTTCTGTCATCCTTTGTCATTACCCAGCTCTCAGGCTCATAGCAAATGATTGAAAAGGCCTTAGACTGACTCCAGCACACCGTAGTCTTTAAACTGACATCCTTGCTCCTCAGTGCTTTGAAGAGTTCCTTTACAGCAGGCTTTCCCCATACAATTATCTTTTGATTTCTTGGCTGCTGCGGCCAAGGGGGTGGATTGTAGATCCAAGCAAGATGAAATCGTTGACACCTTCAATCTTTCCTCCATCCGCCGTGATGTTGCCTGTTGGCCCAGAGGGGAAGATTTTGTTCTTTTTTGAGACATAATCTATATTGAAGGCTGTCGTCTTTGATCTTCTGCAGCAAGAGTTTCAAGTCCTCATCACTTTTAGCGAGCAAGGCTGTGTCACCTGCATAACACAGGTTATTGATGAGACTTCCTTCCACCTGATGCCCCCTTTTACGTCATAGAGTCAACTTCTCATTATTTGCTCAGCACACAGATTGAATGGAGAAAGGTCATGCTCACAGGGGCCCCAGATCCAACAGAGAACTCTGCCCAGTCCTGGGACTTCCTCACCATCGTTGCTGTCTTAGCCGGCTGTTGCGCTCCTGTATCAAGCCATCTCTTTAAGGGTCTTTCTTCCTTTCTTGTTGGTCCTCTACCAAGAAGGATGACCTTCCGCAGGGACCTTACTCATAACCCGCCAAGCATTCAAGGCAAAGTCTCACCAGTCTCGCTTCTGAGGCATGTTTTGGCTGCCCTGTCCCCAGGACAGATTTGTTCATTCATCTGATCATCCGTGGTATGTTCCGTATTCTTCGTCTATATCATAGTTCAAAGGTATCAGTTCTTCAGTCTTCCCTACTCACTGCCCATCTATTTCGTGTCTATAAGGTTAGTGAAAATGCTACAGCTTAGGTCAGGCTCAATTTAGTTTTCAAAGTGACATCTTTGTTCATTAACACAAGCAGCCCTTCCTGTCAGGCTTGCCCAGTGCAAATACACAGTCTGGACGCATTCGAGGGAAATCCCTGACCGTGGTGGTGAGTGATGGGGACAAGTTCTGGTTATGAGACATCATCCCGTTTTGCTATTCTAAGCCACTCTCGGTTCCCTGTCACTTATGGAATTTTCAGCGTAAATGTGGATGTGGGGAAGCTACTGAGATTGACGAGTGATAAGAAAAGTGAAGGGAACAGCTGCTCCTTGGGGAAGCAGGTCCTGGAGGAGATGATGAAGGAGGAAGGGAAGAGAGACTGAGGGAGAGGAGGGGTGTAGGCAGCCATGTCTTTCCCCTGAAGAGTGATTGCTGGGCTTGAATCACTGACCCATTGGCTCACAGCTCAGCGCCTTCACCACCACACCACCAGGACTTTGGGAGAGGTGTGCCTTTCCCAGCGGCTTGGAGACTCAGACCCTGCCTGGTGCAGGCCTGATCGGGCGGGCCCTCGGGTCCTCTTCCAGTGTAGAACTGACACTTCTTAGCCCTGAGGCCGCGTCTAACCCAGCAGGAGGGTTTGCCTGCACCTTCTGTGTGCGCTGGACCTGCTGTCACTGTGTCTGGCCGGAACCGACTCGTGGCTGACCCTCTAGAAGGTGTTCAGAGGCTGTAAACCTCCGGAGAGGAGACTGTCCCGCTTCCTCCCGTGGGGCAGCTGGGGGATTCAGACTCGGTGCCTCGGGGTTACGTGCGCAGTTCCTTGCCAGGCAGCCGTCAGAGTGATGGGAAAATACTGTCAACTAAGACCGTGTGTCCAAAGTCTGTGTTATACAGGAGGTTTGCACAAGGAGGGCCCTTTCTAGAAGGCTTTTTGCTCCTCTCTTTCTCTTAGAAAATTGTTGCGCATAAAAACAAAACAAAAACAAAAGCAAAAAACCCAACACAAACAAAATCAACCAACCAAAAAACCCACACAGTAAAAATACCAAACAAAAATTTCACCAAAGAGCTGTAATACGGACACTTTGCTTCTTCCCCTGGCTTCTCCTTCCTCTCTCCTCTTCTCTTTTTAGAGAATGTGGGTGGGAAAAGAAAGAGGTGGCAAGGAGCTTTTTTAAAATGTTCTTGAAAACGTCCTTTCTTACTTTTTCCCCTACTTAACATATGTGCTCTGGAAAAATGGTGGACAGCACACAGTCCAGAGCCAGCAGATAGCACCAAACTCTCGCTTTCATCTCGCCCAGCCTATCTTGTGTTTGCACAACAGAGACTCCTGCCAAGGGCACCATCTCCAAAGATGACGCAAGAGGTCGGCATCTGCATCCTCCGATGTTCACAGGGGATGTGAGAGGACTTATCACTGATCACAAAGTACAGCCCCTCTGTACCCGGGAAACATTCCCAGGATCCCAGGAATCTACGGTTCCCACATATCAAAGGGTCTGTAGTGTTTACAGACTATGCTTTATTGAAAAACTAAAGGGTAGTTTATATAGAACTTATTCTCCTGAAATCTTAGTGATACAAAAGTTAAACCCTCAGCTATTAACTGTGAGGTTGGTGGTTTGAACCCACCCAGAAGCTCCACAGGAAAATGACCCAGCATTGTACTCCAGCAAAGACTATTGAAACTCAATCCATCAAGCCAATTCCTGTTCCTACCAACCTCATGCTAAATCCAGCTCCCATCACCCTCGGTAAGAGCAGTCAAGAAATCAAGACATGTTGTATTGGGCAAATCTGCTGTATGGGACCTCTCCAAGATGCTAAAGAGAAATGATGCCACTTTGAAGACTAAGGTGCAGGGGCTCCAAGCCATGGTTTTTTCAACTGCTTGCTATGCGTCTGGAAGTTGGACAATAACTAAGGATTACAGAAGACTTAATACCTTTGAATCGTGGTATTGGAGAAGAGAACTGAATATCTCAAGGACTTCCAGAAGAACAAACAAGTTCATCTCGGAGGAGGTGCAACCAGGGAGCCCCTTTAAGGCAAGGACGGTGAAGCTTGCTCTGACTTATCCTGGACATGCGCTCAGGAGGGACCAGTCCTTGGGAAAAAGACATCATATTTGGAAAAGTCAGCAAAAGAGAAGAAGACCTTCAACCAGACGGATTGACACAGTGATCATAACAATGAACTCCAGCCTAGCAGAGATGATGAGGATGGCCCAGGATGGGATAGGGCTCACATCTGCTGGTCACCGGGTCGTTAGAAGCCTTAGCTCGCCAGCACCTAACAACATGCAACTGTACAGGACACAGTAGACCTGCCCGCAAGGGCTGCCCAGGCAGAGATCTTCACCAGAACAGACCAGCACGTCATCTTCTGCCTCGTCAGGTAGTGGTTTCGATCTGAGAACCTCTGGCCAGCTGCTGAGCACTTGACTACTTATGCCGAGCACAGACGCCACCAGGGTTCCTTGAGGAAAGTCCGCAGCATGGAAAACCTCATGGGACAATTCTGGTTTGTCACAAGGGGTGGCCAGGAGTTGGAATTAATAACATAATCCAACAACAGTTAATCTCATCACCTTCCCATTGGACTAAGAATTCTCTCAAGTCAGAACTCATTGCCGTCAGGTCAGAACCTGCTCACAGCAGCCCCTCGGTGGGTTTCCAGGGTGTAAATACCACAGAAAGAGATTGTCCACCTGTCTTCCAAAGAGCCACCTGTGGGTTTATGGCCTCTGCTTCCTAAGAAGTGTGGTTTAGGGACAATATTCGTTCTTTCAAGGACCCCTAGTAGCACAACAGTTAAGCTTTCTGCTACTAACTTCAAGGTTGGTGGTTCGAACTTACCCAGCAGCAGGTGCAGCCTTTGAGTTATAGGGCCGAAGCTTTGACTTCTCCCACTAGAGCTCTGATGTCAGAAGAGAAAGTGTTAAGCCGGGACATTTCCCAGGAAGGGTTTTGGTCATGGGAGGGCACCTCTCTCGTTGACCGTGGCGGCCACAGCTGTATGCATGAGAGGCCCTGCAAGTCCCCCGTGGCCATTTCTCCCACAGTGTGAGCTCGCTGGATGGCTCTGTGCTAACTCTGTACCATGTGCGGGGCCCTCTCACACTATCCTCACCTTGTCCACTGCGCTCTTCCCACTTCACAGACTGCAGGATCATGCCAGCAGCTCCATTACACGCACTAAGAAACCACAATATTTGTGTGACTTGCTTTGTGAGGGTGTGAGGTCCTGGGAGGCACCTCAGTGTCTCTGAGCTGTGTCTGTGATGATTTACCAGCCCTAAGAGTGGGGACCCCATGTGGCATTGCCCAGAGGGGAACTGCTCCATGAACCCTAATGCTTTGTTCCCTGGCTATTTTTTTTTCTTCAGCAATGTAAGAGATGTGTTTTGTTTCTTGGAGGGGCGCAGCTGGAAAGATGAAAGGAGAAGGCAGGACTGGGCCATGAGGCTGATGACCAGCAGGCCTATAACATGGGCGCTCGGGAGACACCCATGCCTTAGGACAAGCAGATGTGGGTCTCTCCTGCAAAAGGAGAGAGGGGAAGGTGGGCCAGAGAGCCTCATCCGGGGGTTCAGCCTGGAGACAAGCTTGGGCAGCCTAGTGGGGTGCTCCAGACAAGGAGTGTCCCCTACAGGAGTCCTGGACTGGGCAGAAAGGCTCAGGCGCCTGGCACTGGGGTTCATTTGCAAAGGAAACTAGAGACGGGGCTCTGGGAGCCGCCCTGAGCCATAAAGGGCTTCGTTCAACCCAGAGAGCTTGGGGTTCTTGTAGTGCGGTGATTTTTTTTAATGGTTTGCATACAATCATTTATATGCATTACGTTTCTTTCATTTATACTGTGTGTTACACAATCATTTCTATACATAGTTTCATTCATGTACATTTTTTTCAGGAACCATTTTTTAAATTAATTTTAATGAACGTTTACAGAGACTTCAGTTTTCCAGTCATTCGTTCACTCTTCTTGGAAAGTAAAGAAAAATTCTTTCATTGTGATCCCCCTAAATCCACTCCACTGTGCAGCCTTCATTCTGAACTCCTGTCATGACAATAATGCCCAATCATATATCCCTTTTAAACAGTTCTGTCCCTCATCTGTTTCAATGCTGTATACATCATTCCTCCCCTCCTTCTCTGTGTTCCCTCAACCCCAATGTCAATCCTGTTTTACAACAGTGGCCTTATGCAATAATTGTCCTTTTGTGACTGAGATATTTCACTCAGCATAGTGTCCTCTAGGGTCATCCACTTTACATAATATTTCATGAGTTCCTTGTTTTTCAATGCTGCATAGTATTCCATTGTGTGTCTATACCAGAGCTTCTCTATCCATTAATTTGTTGATGGGCACTTGGGTTATTTCCAGCTCTTTGCTATTGCAAACAAAGCCACAACAAACATGGGTGTGCATATACATTCATGTACATTTTAAAACAATGATTTCTATACATTGTATTTTATATCATCAATTCCTTTTGATCTATGACTTTTACCACCCTGTGTCTGTGAGTCCCCATTACACCTTGCCTGTTCCTTCAGTTTTGTTGTGAACCGGGTGAAGATTTCCACAGCATATTGGTTCCCGTTCAAGACTGCATACACGTTCTGAGTGAACTTGACAGAGCCAGCTGGTTTTCCAGTGCACCACGCTGTGCTCTGGGACATGGACTGCAATCCCCACTTCCTCCCGGGGTTTCCTGTTTCCATTCCTCTTTCTTTCCTAAGCCTTCCTGCTTTCTGAACTTTGTCCTTGAGCAGAGGCTTCCCTTCTGATCTCGATTGGTGGATGGTTTCAAGGCGTGTGTAACCCTCTCGTGCTGCCCACATTGTAGACCACTCAGCTTGGGCACAGTGGAGACTGTAAGGATGGTGGATTGAAATAGGCCTATTTCTATTGTACAAACCATTGTTATGAACTGCAGTTGACTTAATGACACCTAAAAACAACAAAAATGGCAATATTGTTTGGCTTCAAAACGATCCACTGTTCTGAATTAACTAAGGAAGGACGATAGTCTTAGGGATTCTACCAGACCCTATCTGGCCAAAAAGCCTGAATTTTTAAATATGTTTTTGTATAGTTTCACATTTTATTTCCATTCTCTTGAAAGCCTTCCAGGGTAATGGCTTTTAAAGCAGTCAGGAGGGCAGCCGGGCACCATCTAGATTCTCTGGTGTTCAAAATCACGGAGAGTCCTTTACAGTGATTGTCTCCGCGTGTCTTTTTTCTTCACTCTCCTCTACTCTGCACAGGAAGAGATCAGTAGTTGCATCTGAAGTGGCCACGTGCAGCTTTTAAGGAGGCGGCAGCACATTTTCTTTGTGGACTGTTGTACCTGTTGATTTTGATGTCCTCCAGTCCTAGGAACTCATTTCCTGATGGTATTTGGTAATGGCTAAATCATTTGCGAGGATTTTTAAACTCCGTCTCACACACTTTGGGCATGTTGCCAGGAAGGACCAGTCCTTGGAGAAGGACATCCTGCTTAGAAGAGTGGAAGGTCAGTGCAGGAGAGGGAGGCCCTGGATGAGATGGATGTTTGACACGGTGACTGGCGTCATGGGGGCAGCTGTGTTGGAGGCAGTGAGACTGGCTCAGGACAGGGCGGGGTTCAGAGCGGTTGCACATAGGGTTGCTATGAGTCATAGTTGACTCAACGGCACCTAACAACAAGTTGTTTTCACAACGTTTCCTCCATAAGCACTTGGACGTATTTGCAGCATTGTGAATACACTAATTTTAAGTCTTCCCAAGCATGCCGTAGTCTTCACCACTCCCAAATCTCTTATATCTGGTCTGTCTCAAATTTATATAATTTTTGCTCCATTCTTAGGGTCATTATGTTTGCTCTTCCTTCCCTGTTCCTGCCTTTAAGTAAGCTCCCTCTAAATGTACATGCATGTTGATTTAGAAGTTAGCAGATTCGAGTAGACATGCCCTTGAACTTGAGAGGGTTCTCAGTGCATTGACAATAGCTGGCTTGAGGATCAGACCAACCCAAGGCTGAGTCCCAGCTCTCCTACCTGCTGCCATGTCTCAGGTGACTCAGGGCTCTAAAACACAGGCCCCAGTGCAGACAGTCCCCAAGACTCACACCTACCTACCTACCCCAGCAAGCTTTCAGACTCGGAATCTCTGCGGCTTAGCCCTTCCAAGAAAACACACCACAGTGGAGAGTAAAGCGGAAAGACATACGGGGCGCTGGGAGAGACAGAGTGGGTGCTGCCACGGAGGAACCGTGCCCATCCTCCCAGCCCAGAGGGGATTTCCGTCCAGTAACCAAAAAATCCTGCTACTCTTGAGTCATTTCCAACTCAGAGCACCCTGGTGGCGCAGTGGCTAAGGCCTGGGATGCTAACTGAAAGGTGGAAGGTTTGACAACCCCCTCGGCAATTCCACAAGGTAAAGACCTGCTGATCAATGAGCCAGAGTCGACCCAACGACCCCCAAAGCACAACGCTAGGGATCAGGGAGCTGCAGCAGGTGGTGTTTCTAAGGGGTCATCTGAGCTGATCCTACCTAGCCTCATTAGCGTGGGAGGTGGCTCCGTGGTCACTGCAGAGGACAGAGAACACGTGGGTGAGCTCCTCTCCCCTCAGGCCCCCCACTCCATCCGGAGCGCCTCCTGCCTTCCTGTGGATACGATCCTGCTCTCCCTTCAAGGCCCAGCCGTCCGCCTGCCACTGTCCCGAGTGCACTCTACCCTCCTCGTGGCCTGGACTGCCGCCTGGGCAGCTCGCCAGCATCGGTTTGCCTCTCAGACCTCACACTTGTCCCTCCTTGTGCCTTCTCCACCCAGCAGCCCTACGTAAACAGGCCCAGGTCTAAATCAGGCCCCACATGTGGGTGACTTCTCTCCAGCCCAAACTGTTTTCAGTTCCTCCAGCTCGCCACACACATGCACACACACCGTGCACAGGCAGAGGTACACACACATACTGTACACACGTGTATACACACGGCACCTCACACCGCACTCTTCCTCTCCCCGAGGGTTCTGCACCCCGTTTTTTATCCAACTGACTCTTACCCCAGTCTCAGAGTCCACAGCCCTTTCTCAGACGAACCTCCCTGGAGCCCTCACCCACCACCACTTCCCAACAAGACTCGGTTCCTCATAACTGGCTATATTTGCAGCTCCTGTGTTTCTTTCTGTGAACTTGCGACTGGGGACAACTGCTCCACTGGACAGAAATGCCAGGAGCTCGGGCACTGTTCTGCCCACCAGTCTATCTCAAGTCCTGATGGAGCAATAAGTGACTGGCTTCCTAGTCCCCCCCACCCGTAGCTGCACAGCTGACAATGGACTGAGAGACTGAAGGATCGAGGGACCGGATGGTTGTGACACAGACGGTTTCCACTGGCTGGTGTTTGAAAGCAGATCACCTTCCCCAGGCTCTCGTCCTCATCCACCTGAGCCTGAAACTGTATCCTGATTGCACGTGAGATGCCCCATCTAGGAATCGAACCTGGGTCTCCAGCATGGAAGCCAAGGATTCTATCACTGAGCCATTCCCCAAATAGGTTAGCTCTTTGCATTCTGGCAGTTCCAGGAAGTATCATAGCAAAGTCCTCATACCCAGACTAGCCCACGCATCCCTGCATTGACATGTCGTGCTCCACGCTCAGAGCATTCCTGCAGGGCGTTCTGTACCGGAGTGTCCAAGGCTGTAAACTTTAGCAGAAGTAGATCACCCAGCTTCCTCTCAGGGAGCAGCTGCTGAGTCCAAACTGCCAGCCTTTTGGTTATCAGCTGAGCCCTGTAACCATGACACCACCATGGTGGCAGGCAGTCCTGGTTCCAGCCTGGCCTTCCTCAGGCTCCTCCCCCTCTTCCTCCACTTGCCTGTTCCTCTCTCCCTTTGCTCTCGGCCCACTTATTGTATGAAGAGGAGCAACTAGGAAGAATGTCCTTTTTGGAAATTGTTTGAGGACAATGGCATCCAGAATCGAACTCCCTGAGTGATCACCAGGAACAAAAGGGGAACATATGGCTCTCCTTCATCTCTTACGCATCTATGCGAATGTTTCCAGACCAACAACCCCTTTAAAAGGGCCCCCTGTGCAGCCTCAGCAGCCATCAGGTGGGGATTTGTTGTGCTGGTGTGGTGGTTTCCACCTGATCTCTGCAGGGAGGTGGCCACGGGCGGGCGTGGAGAGCCCAGTGAAAGGCCGCTGCTGTCACTGTACACCCTCCCCACGTAGCCACTCTTTGTAATGATATCTCTCTTATTCTGGGCTGTTGTTGTAAACAACAGACCAAGGTGATCTGATTTATGTGTGTAGAATAACATTCTGGCTGCTGTAGTGAGCTTGTAAGGGGAAGAGCTCAAAGGTAAATCTGAGCAGACCAGTCAGAGCCCCAGTGACCTTGGACAAGTCACTTGCTCTCTCTGACCCTCAGTTTCTTCATCTGTAAGATGGGAATGAGAAAAGCTACCTGCAAGGTGTCTAAGGATTAGCTGGCCCCTGGCTCCAGTGCACCCACCCAGAGTTGGTGTCCGTGCCAAGCTCCACTGCTTTCCTTCTGTCTGGGTCAGGAACCCCCCAAGACCTCCCATGTGCATTTAACGCTTCCTGTAGCACCATCAGTGATGGTCAGTGCGGCTGGAACTCTGAGATGCTCATGGACTGCGTGAGATCTCCAGAGGTGCCTGTTCTCTGTCGTAACATGTGACCCCCACAAGGGGATGGTGGAAGAGCAAATGTTTGGGGTCTTCCTCTGCTGGGAGTTCACGTGCTTCCAATGTGTTCACTGCTGCCCCACGGACGGTGGGACACAGGACTCAGTAACCGCCCTGGGCATGGAGCCTGTCACTGTCCATCACGGGCCGCTGTGGGTGCCCGAAAGGGAGAATGGCGTTCACAGCCGACTGTCGTCAGGGGAATGTCCCTGCCTTTCACAAGTGACAAACCCACCGGCAGGTTACTGGTACTCTGCTCACATCCCAGCAGCTGCCTCAGCACAGCAACTAACTGCTTGTCTCGTGAGCGAACCTCTTTCTCCACAAACGCCAGCACGCTCCTGACGACAGACCTTCTCTCTTAAGACTGATTTCCTTATTCTTCCCCTTTATGTTTGATTGTTGGTTTTAAATATACATGTCAGAAAACGAATTTTTTAAAAATCAAAACACAAACTGCAAGCTCATTGCCAATGAAGTGGAATTGAGTTATAGTCAAACCCCATAGCGGGCTTCTGAGGATGTAAATCTCATGGGAGGGGATTGCCTGTCTTTCTCCCAGGAAGCTGCTGGTGGGTTTGAGAGGCCTGGTCTTTGGGTTGGCAATGCAGCGTCCTACAGGCTGTGCCACCGAGCACGTACCAGTTCCATTATTTCTCCACGTGCAGTTCTGTGGCACGCATCACAATCTTGGAGCCGTACAGCAGTTCTCACCATCCTTCTCTGAGTGTTCCTGTCCCACAACATGACCTCACTCCCTCCCATGTTTCCTATCTAATCTTTGGATTGTTATCGGTTTGATCACATACAGATAACTCTTTAAAAAGAGCTCTTTAACAAGCATTTCTTTACTCTTTAAGCGAAAATGTTATTTGATTTTTAGGATGACGTTAGGATATATTTCTGGTTTAAGGTTTAAAGATTATCTTAGGGCAATAGGTTTGAGGGTTCATCAAGCCTCAATGATTCCAGCAAGTCCGGAATCCATGATAATTTTAAATTCTGTTCTGTATTTCCCCTCTCTTGGCCAAGATTCTTCCATAGAATATTTGACCAAAAGGGATTTTATGGAAATTCGGTGATAGATTGGAAATGGTTGTTTTTATTTTCCCTTTTATCTCAACGTAAAATGTTAAAGTGTAACTTTCAAAATGATAAAATCATGACATTCATGAAAATATAAAATGAATATGTGTCAAAGATGATAAAATGATTACATAAAGAAAGAATGAGTATAGATATCAAAGCCAGCTCCAAGAACTGAGAGACTGGCATCTATAGGCAATGTGATAAAAGAATAATAAGGTATGATTGCAGGGTTAGGTGCAAAATTGGTTCAAGTGCTCAAAGGTAATAAGCCATGGCCTTTGTGGTCCCCTTTGCCAAATGGAGATCATTGGCCTCTTTATTGGTCCAAGGTCTGCAAAGTTAGCCTCTATCTTCACAGAGACCTAAGTTCTAGTCAGGAGTCTCTGTAAGGATACAAAGCTTTATTCTCTCTGAACCCCTCGACCCGGCTGGGGTGTCTGAGCTGACCACACGTGCGTGTGCAAGTCTCACCACAATCCAGGATGATCATCATTCCCCGGGAAGACTGCTCAGACCGTGAGGTCCCCTGGACAAACAGATGGACACTCTTACTGAAGGCTCCGGAGAGGGGAGCGGAGAGCCAGGGATATCGTCCAGACCCCTCCTTCTACCTAGGAATCAAAGCCGTGGTGCTGGAGCCTGAAGGTTAACACACCCAGCTGCAAATTGAAAGGTTGGAGGTCAAGTCTACCTCAGAAGAAAGGCCTGGCAATTAACTTCCAAAACCCGGTCACTGAAAAACCCTACAGAGTGCAATTCTTCTCTGACACACGGGGGTTACCACAGCTGAAATCCACAGCTACTGGTTTGTCTTGGTGTTGGGTGCCCTTTTTACCTCCCAAAGGCCTGGAAAGAAAGGTATCACATGATTCACCTTTGTACCTACACTCTATCCACTCATTAGCTCCACAAGAATTTAACCAACACCTACTACGGGCCCTGGTAGTAGGGAGCTTGGTGGCCAAGTAGATAGTTGCACTGCCAAACCAAAGGCAGGCAGTTTGAATCCGCCGGCTGTTTCACAGGAGATAGGTGGGTTCGTCCCCTCCCATGCCTCTGAAAATCTGCTGGGGTGTCAGTTAAGAGCTGGTCACAACGTTAGTAAGTGCCAGGTCCTGGGAGAACAGTGAAGAACAAGGAAATTGTGGGTCCTATTCTCTGGAAGTTTGTATTCTAACTGGGGAGGTCGACTTTGATTAGCCCTTAATGAAATACTACAGATGTGCTAGATACTGGCATGGGAAGGCATTGAATAAAAGAAACAAAACAAAAAACTCAAGTATCAGTTAAGGCTTGAGGTGGGAGTGGCATCTGGGATCTCACTGGGAGAAAGGTTGCTGACCTTTGGGGCAGAGGGACCAGCATGCACTCAGGACTCAAGCCCTCAGGAAATGAGCATTCCTTGAGGCTGGGGAGGAAGTGATACATGAGACCCGAGACGTGGGCGACAGCAGAGTCATACAGGACCTCAAGGGTTAGGCAGGGTTTGGACAGCATCGAAAGTGTACTGGAGTCAAAGATGCACAGAAACAACTCCTCCAAAGGCATGCTGGGACACACGAGCCCTAGCCCCCATGTTCCTGAGACCAAAACTAGGTGGGGCCCAGCCACACTGCTAGCCACACAGAGAGACCACATAGTAGATCTGAGAGTGCAAGAAACATGAAAAACAAACTAAAGTCATTTAAAAAGACAAGGTTTGCTAGTCAGATAAAGACGGTCGAACCCCCAAGACTGTGGCCCTGAGTAGCGTAGGGACCTGAGATTGAAGGGTGCAATGGAAGATGGCTGTGTATTTGATATCTAACTGTCCAATCCATAAAGACTTGGTGTTCGGAGCCCTGGTGGTGCCAGGGTTTAAGCGTCTGCCTGCTTACCCAAAGCTCAGCATTTCAGACCCACCAGCAGATCCCCAGCCAAGAGACATGTCTGTGTTCTTCTGGGAACGCCACGGGGAAGCTCTGCTCCGTCCTACAAAGGTGGCTGTTGGTGGGAATCGAGCTATGGCCCTGGGCGTGGAGTCCCTAAGTGGTGGGACGCTTGAAGCCCTCACCCGCTGTCCTAAAGGTTTGAGTTCACCCCATAGCGCCTCGGGGGGAAAGGCCTGGCAGGTTAGTCCTGGAAAATCAACCACCAAGGGCCCGGTGAATGCAGTTCCACTTGGAGATGCATCGGGCTGTTTCGAGTCACTCAAAAGACATGCATTGCCTTTCAGTTATTAGTAATGGGAGGAAGGGGCTGGTGGTGCAGTGATTAGACCACTTGGCTACCAACTTCAGTGGTTCAAACCCACCAGCCACTCCTCGGAAGAAATATGTGGCCATCAACTCCCTAAGGATTTGCATCTTTGGAACGTGCTGGGGCCTCTGAGCAGTCCCACAGGGTCCTTGTGGGTCAAATGTACTCGGGTCCTGGGTTAGCGGTGTGACACTGAAGCTTCTTCTCCCCGCCGCAGGCACTCTTGGCCAAGGCACTTTACGACAACCACCCCGACTGTTCCGAGGAGCTGGCTTTCTGCAGGGGAGACATCCTGACCATCCTGTCGCAGGACATGCCCGAGAGCGAGGGCTGGTGGAGGTGTGCGCTGCATGGCCGCCAGGGCCTGGCCCCGGCCAACCGCCTGCTGGTGCTCACCAAGTCCCCCGCCGGGTCCCGGGACCCTTCCCCGAGGGCCAGCTCCAAGGAGGCCCGCCAGGTGCCCGCGCTGCCCTCCCCGCCGCCCGACGGCCCCAGCCCGGTGTACGAGCACATGCGGAGCTGGGTGGAGATGCCCCGGCCGGCAGCCCAAGACTATGAGATCCCTGACCCGAGGCCTCTCGGTGCCAGGATCGTCTGCGAGAAGACTCCAGGCTTCCACAGACAGGTAAGCATGGGTACCCAGACAGGCAGAGCGCCGAGGACTGCCCACTCCATGTGCCCCTGGTGTCCATTGCCACCAAACACATGGGAATGCCAGGGACTGGCCACCTCAGGACGCCTGGTGCCCGCTGTCACTCAGACAGGTGGAAATACAGGGGACCACCCACCCGAAAGCCCCTGCTTCCCATTGCTACCCAGATAGATGGGGGCACCCAGGGACTACCCATCTCAGGACCCCTGGTGCCCACTGCCACCCAGACAGGTGGGAATGCAGGGGACAGGGGACCGCCCACTCCAGGGCCCTGGTGTTCACTGCTGCCAAACACGTGGGAATGCAGGGGACTGGACCCCTGGTGCACGCTGGCAGGGGCCTCTATGTGAATGGGAACCCAGACTTCATTGGCGGTCAGCTGGATTGGGTGGGCTGCATGGTGGTCAGGAAACGAGCTGGGGTGGCCCTTCCCTAGAAATACCACACTGACCAGTGGACAGAGCTGTGTGCTGTGGAGCCGCCCAGTCGGCCAGTGAAGGATGCTGTTCTTGAGGCCATCAAGTCAATTCCAAGTCAGAGCGGCCCACAGACAGAGCCAAAATCCCCAAGGGGCTGACTACGGGGTGGTCTTTACAGGGGTACATTGCCATGTCTTGTCTCCTTTGGAGTCATTGGGTGGGTTTAAACCACCAGCGGTTAAGCCAAGCATTTAATCATTGTGCCACCAGGGTTCCTCTAGTGCCTTTAGTGATGGATAAGCCCATTCCCTTCTTGGATTCAAGCAGCTGGTGGATCAAACGAATGAAGAGATTGAAAACAGCAGTAGGCTTCACGACTTAGGGCCTCCTACGTAGAAGGATAGAAGACTACTTGCTGGAACCTCTGGGCTATTGTGGCTGAGAGGATTAAACATTGGTGCTGTTAATCAAGAGGTTGGCAGTTTGAATTCACCCTCTGTTCTGAGGGAGAATGATGAGGCAGTCAGCACCTGTAATGGCTTAAAAAACAATAAAACCCCGCCGCCACCAGGTCAGTTAGCACTCAGGACCACTGTCCGCTGGGTTTCGGAGGCTGCAGACCTTTACGGGAGGCCGCTGCCCATCTTTCCTCTGAGGAACAGCTGGTGGATTTGAACTGTTGACCTTTCAGTTAGCAGCCTGATACATTCCACGCCTCCACCACCAGGGTTCTTCCTTACGGAGATCACAGCCGTGGAAACCCTGTGGGGGGTGCTGTCCTTTGGGTCCAGGAGTCCACTTCGACTGGACGGCGGTGGGTTGGACTGGCGTGGGCTTTCACGATGAGTGCTTCTTGACATGAAGACATCCTCTGCTGTCCCCTGAGCTGAGTGCAGGCTGGTCCTGGCTGGGATAGCGACAGATCACACCAGCCAGTGGGGAATTCGGGGACTCCGCCGCCGACTGTGGTTCCCCCTGACCACGGTGGACCCGGGGGCTCTTCCTGCCCTCACACCTCCTGTTGCTTCCCTCTGCCTCAGCCCTTGCCACATTTTCTTGTTTGCTTGGAGTTTTGGTGGCAACGTCTGCTATGCGTAGTTCAATGGCATCAGCAGCTCTGTAGGAAAACGGTAGACCATCTTCTCCCATGAAGATTTACAGCCTCTGAAATCCAACGGAGAGTCAGCAGTGTGCCAGAATCCACTCAAGGGCTGGCGTTTGGTGTTGATTTTTTTTACCTTTGTGACAAAACAATGCTCGGTTTTTGTTTTTGTTTTGTGCTGAGACTCCAGTAAAAGAGCAAACTGGTTTTCCCTTCAACAGTTCCTCACACTCTCATCTGAGACATCAGCTGCTATCCTCATCACCACTCTTCCCACCTCCTCCTTGTGGTTACCGTTTCCTGTCATCCTTCTGTCCTGTCACTTCTTGCTGGTAAGGAGGGAGACGCTGCACTGATTCTGAGGTGTGCTGTTCGGTGAGTGCACACCTGCTCGGTGTAACCATTCACCTTACAGCCCTTTCTGTTGTCTGGCTGAATGTCGAGCCACAAGAGTGAATTCTGTTCCAGATCTGAGAGGTGACTGAGGGCTGTTGTCTCAGGGATCCTCCCAGCTTCTGTCTGACCAGCAAGCCTGGTCTTCTTGTGATTTTGAGTTTTGTTCCACAGTTTTCTCATGCTCTATCAGGGGCCTCCCATCGAGATGCCTGTCAGAGCAGATGGCACTTAACTGTCATGCCAGGCACCACCTCATCCTTCTGGTCTCAGGCGCTCTAGGTGTATGTTTGCTTCTTCCATATCCCACCATGTGTGTGTCCCTTTTCTCTTCTGCCTTCTCTGTGTTTGAGATCACTTAAAGTGAGAGATACAACTTGAAATTCAGAAGTTAGGGGCCTTGGATTTAGTGGAACCCAGGGCAGCTATCTGACCAAGGCCTCATACCCCTCGGCTCTTTTGTCCTGATTCATAAGAAGCAAGTCTCTGGATGTTGTGAATGGTGAACATCCATGGCTGCTTCTTAAAAGATTAGAGGTTCAAATCCACCCAGAGGACCCAGCCATCTACTGTCAAAAATATTACAACTCTAAAAAACAAAACCAAACAAAAAAACAGCTCGTGGAGCCCCTGTGGAGTATATTCTGCTCTCTCTCTCTCTCTTTCTCTCTCTCTCACACACACACACACACACACACACGGTCACCATAATTGGAATCAGCTTGATGGCAACAGGCTTATTTTTCTACTTTTATATTATTTTAAAAAACCCCATTACCACTAAGCCGATTCCACCTCATAGCGGCCCTGCAGGACAGAGCAGAGCTGCACCATATGATCCCAAGGTTGTCCCCTCGCAGGCACAGACCACCCCTTCTTTACTCTGTGGAGTAGCTGGTGGGTTTGAACTCTTGACCTTTCAGTTGACAGCTAGGGCTCCTTCCTCTCGGTTAAAAGTGGCCCAAAGTTAAACATGGAGAAGGTGGGAGAGTGCCACCTTCCTTGAGGGCTCTTCAGGGAGAGGTCACGTGTCCACATCGATGGCTCTATGACCTCTCTGGTCCCCAGGAGTAAAAACAAAACCAACAAGCTTGACATTGACAAACAAGGAGGCTGGTTTCCAGGGTGGGGAGGCCCATCCAAGGCCGCGAGGCTGAGCTGGGACTCACTTCCTGTTGGTGTCTGCACAGCTCTGCCACAATCACCCTCCACGGCTGGCCGTGCCCCACACCCCTTGACCTGGCCTCCCTCTTCACCTGGCAGCCCCGTGGTGGCTGAGTGGCTGAAACAGCAGTTCTTATTCCTATCTCTAACTATGACATACAGAGGCCCTTGATGGCATAATGGTTAAAGGACATGGCTGTTAACTAGAAGGTCCACAGTTCAGACCCACCAGATACTCCCAGGAAGTTCACAGCCTTGCAAACCCTGTAGGTTAAACCTGCCGTCCTCAGGGTTGCTTCCTGCTGCCTTCAACGCTCTTGTTATACTTGTATTACAACTTCTTTAATGTAACATGATGACTTGCCTTCTAACACTCACTTTCTAAAGAACGTCCTTTATTTCCATTTAAATTCAGAGAAGGCCCTCTTTTGTATCTGAAGCAGCCAGGGCTGGATTTCCTGGTGGCGTTGTTCATGGGCCCACAAGCTCTTGAATGGAGTTTCCTTACGTCTGGTTCAACCTTCTCAGAACTGTGCTTCTCAAAGAAACTTCCTTAATCGCTCACCACCTTAAACCCGTGTTTTCCCCGAAATGCTGGGCTTTCTGGAAGCTGTTTCCTCCACTCTGGATCTCCCTAGGCCGTTTCCTCAGCTCTGGATTTCCCTCCTCGGGTGGCCCGGTGCACAGGAAAGTCCCTCTCCTCTCGAGATGCTCGTGCTGCCTGTGTAAGCAGCCAAGTCAGCTGCTCATAACTGGGGCTGAAATAATAGGGCACCTCCCCCCGGTGGTGCAGGAGTCAGGAGCATGGCTGCCAACTGAAAGGTCGGAGGTTTGAGCCGTCTGCCTGCCCTTGCACAGGAGAGACGCAGCTGCCTCCTTCTGTAGAGATGTTAGTCATGGAAACCCTTTGGGGCAGTTCCGATCTGCCCTACAGGTCTGCTGTGAATCAGAATCAACTCTGGTAGTGGGTTTAACAGGCAGTGGAACCTTTTTTAAAAAAATCCATGGGAGAGAGCTTGGGGTGCAGGAGGAAGCGGGACAGTGACAGATGAGTGGGGTCACATGGGGCTGGAGGATCTGGTGGATGGACACAGCCACAGCAGGCCTGCCTCCTAGAGCCGGACACTGAGGGACCCAACCCCGTGCTGTCGACTTGACTCCACCTTCTGCCGTCCGACGTGTGTGTCCTCTGTAAGGTTTCCAGTGGATGGTGGTTTTGTAAATAGATCACCAGGCTTTTCTTTCAAGGTTCCTCGGGGTGGGCATGAATTTCCGGTCCCTCAGTTAGCAGCCAAGGCGTTAACTGTTTGTACCACCAGGGACCCCAGTCTGGTGAGGAGCGAGGATTCCATCCACAGTGCAATGGGGGCCCACTGAAGAGCGTGCCCCAGACCATCAGCCTAAAGTCACCCGGGCCAGACCCCCAACTACCCCCTGCAACTGGGAGACACTGCACAGCAGAGGTCACAAAAGACATCCCACAAACGTAGAATGGGGAGTGTTAATTGGGGATGGAGGGGGTGGAGTTTGAGAATCTGAAGCCATGTTTTCCCTGCTCAGAGCAAAGCAGGGCTGCAGAACTAAAGGGTGCATGTCAGGTCTGGGATGCAAAGTGGATCTGCCTTTTCCTGGAGATGACACATTTAAGGGCCAAGAGGTTGGCCATGTCCCAGATTAGATAGATACGCCTGACTGAGCCCTGCACCTGGGCTGGGAACTAAGACTGCTTGCTGACCCTGTGCGGCCTCCTCCCTGGTCCCCGGTGGCCTCCTCCCTGGTCCCCGGTGGCCTCCTCCCTGGTCCCCGGTGGCCTCCTCCCTGGTGTGATTCCATCAGCAGTGTTTCTGAGGAGCCAGGCTGTTTGAGAAGGAAGGCCGCTGGTGCAATGGCTAAGTGCTCAGAAGCTATTTAAAGGGTACTGGTTCGAGTTCACCATCAGCTCCGTAGGGGATAGGACCTTGTAATGAGGGTACATGTCACACAGAGTTGCTCAGAGTCAGAATTAAAGGCAGCAGGTGTGGGTGTGACCTCCAGTCCTCAGCGCCGTCACCCAGCACAGGTCAGTGATGTCTGCAGTTATCTGTACTGCAGGGGACGATTCTGGTCACGGCCGCTGTACTCTCTGGTGACAGTGTTCACGGCTGCTGTATTCCACAGTGACAAAGGTCACAGCCGCTGTACTCCGTGGTCATAATTCCTCTCCTTTGTTCTCTTCTCTCCAAGGCCCTTCACACGCTCCCCAAACCCACGCGAGGCTCGTTGCCGGCTCTGTCCTCCCAGGTGTATGACGTACCTGCCTCGAGCCGGGCACTCCCAGCCGTTAAGGTGAGTCTCACCTGGGACACGCTTGTTACCTGTCTGCCTCGGTGGGTCCTGTCTGCTGGAGTTATCAGCCACTGACTCCTATCCTAGTTCCACACTACCTCCCACCCCTGGAAACGATGTTCCAATCTCCTCAGTGTCCACGGAGCCCAGGCTGCCTCAGCAGGAAGATGGCACCGTTTAATCTCTGAAATTTAAAAAAAAAATGTGTTCCTCCTCCTTTCTAATGGCCCACCCACTGCTGCTCAGTCAATCCCAGCTGGTGGCGACCCCTCTTGAGATCTCCAGGTCTCCACGGGCGCAGCCACCTTCCTCCTTGAAGCAGCTGGTACCGTCAAATCAGCAACCTTTCAGTCAGCAGTACAAGACACAACATGTTACATGTATAGACTGGAGCATGGTGGCGCAGTGGCTAAACGCCCAGCTGCAATCCAAAAGGTCCACAGTTCAAACCCACAGCAAGGGTTTTACTCTTTGCAAAGCCTTTTGCGTGAATCCATCTCTGTGCCCAGAGTTGTGGTCATCGTGCCCATTTCACAGACAGAAGGCGAGACCCAGGGCCAGCAGCGCTGTAGGACCATCCATCCTTTCCTCCCTCCGTCTTCTTAGTGTTGTCCGTGGGCAGATACTGCCCTGCTGGCCTCACACAGCTGGTCGTACCAGGAGGGAGGGCCTCTCTGGGTGAGGGTCTGGGGGCCTGTGTGGCTGACAGGTGATGCTCAGGGGTGTCTCGGGGCCCACCAATGTCTATCAGAACAGGACGCCGGGCCTTCCCAGGAAGGTTAGGCAGCTGATTTTTTAGAAGTAGATGGCCAGGCCTTTCTCCCGGGGCCCTCTGGGTGGACTTGAATCTCCCACTGCTCAGCGAGTAGCCGAGCATGCTCACTGCGTCCTGTGGCAGAGCCACCCGAGACCACCCTCTGTGGCGTGTCCCTCAGCGTGGGTCAACAGGGTGCGTTTTCCAAGCCTGATGATCAGTGTTTCTGTTTGCAGAGGACACTGCCTGGGCACGCTGGTGAAACAGTGCTGGTGGCTGTCCTTGGGGGGGACATATTTAATTCCTTCTGCTTTGTGGTCTCTTCCAGGAGAAGCAGCAGTTATATGACGTCCCAGCAAGTCCCCAGAAGGCATGCCTGTGGCCTGTGGCCAGCCAAGCCCATGTAAGTGCCAAGAGGTGCCCACACTCAGTGCTCAGAAAACCCGGTGGGTCTCTGGGGAGTTTTATTAGCTTGGTCAGAAACAGGAACACAGAGCCCGGAAGGCAGAGTTGTTTCATCGGAGGCCAAGCAGTTGCTGCCAGGCTGAGCCCAACTCCTGGCAACTGGCCCAGAGGTGTCAGAGCAGAGCTGTGCTCGGTAGGAATGTCAGTAGACGCAACCCTTCAGAAATAGATTGCCAGGCCTTTCTTCCAAGGCACCTGTGGATGGTCTCAAACCTCCATTCACACTCCCGGCATACTCCTTCGTTTGAGGCCAAAGTCCTCCACAGTAACTGAGTTCTGGAGCAGGCCCGGCCCTGTGGTCCTGGAGAGGTCATTTAACTTCTCAACACCTAACCGTTATGGGGTGTGAGAAGGCTGGGCAACCTCCTCCTGTGCATTTTACTGACTCTGAGAACCCACTGGGTTGATTCTGACTTGATGGGATACAACAACAACAGTCTTTATGAGGGCCGATCAGCAGGTCTTCTGCAGAGCTACTGGTGGATTTGAACCACCCACCTTTTGGTTAGCAACCAAATGCTAACCGTTGCACCATGAGGGCTCTTTTAAATGACCTTCCGCCCAAGGTTGTAAGAAAGCTTTTTCAGCTGTGCACTGGAGGATGTATAGCAGTTTGTTAGATGAAAAGGGTTGGAAAAGCATCTGTAGTAAAGGATGTTGTTGTGTACCATCGAGTCAGAACTGACCCCCAGCTGACCCTCCAGCGGGTTTTCAGAGGCAGCCAATTGCACAGGAGGAAACTGCCCATCCTTCTGTGGAGCAGCTGTTGGATTCGAACTGCGTGTCTTCAGCATTGCAGTGCAGCTTCTTACCACTAGACCACCAGTGCACAAAGGATGTGTGACTGGAATAAAATGATGCATTTTGAGTTTAGGGAGAGGGAAGCAGCTTGAGGGGCTAGACCAGCAAGGAAGACATTGTGGTCCGTGAAGTGACGAGGCGGGTGGGCCGACTGGAAGGGCCTTGAGTAGGAAGCACTGGGGAGCCACAGAAGGCGCTTGAGCTGGGGAGTGGCTGCGGGGTTCCGAGCCTTCCCGCGCTCACAGGTCCCGATAGGGGCCACCCAGACCCTCCTTTCCTCATCACCACGCTGAGCGATGCATGTGCTTCCTCTCCAGGGACACAGCAGGACACCCCCAACCCCCCGAAGAGGCAACTACAATACTCTCCCCAACCCCCAGAAGTCAGAGTGGGTTTATGACACCCCAGTGTCGCAAGAAAAGGCCAGCTTGGGGGCTACAACCCTAAGCAGTCTGATGGAGGAGACGAGGCCCAGCCCTGCGTCCAGGCTGGTGGCAGCCGCCCGAGAGGCCTCCCCAGACAGCAGGGCCCGGTCCCTCCGGCAGCCACTGGTCAGAGACAGGCCCCGGGAGAAGCAGCTCAGCTTACAAGAGCTGCCCGCCTCGGCCCTGCCAGCCACCAGGGATACACTCACCTCTGATGGCCGGGTCAGCTACAGAGTCCCCCTGAGCTTCCTGGGGGATCGCGTGGAACAGCAGAACACCAAGCCCAACATTTATGACATCCCGGCAGCCAGGGCCCATGTCTCCCAGGATCTGAAAGGGCTGGACAAAGCCGATGGGGCAGCAGAGACGCATGAGGACCAGGGCCCCGCGTGGTCCTCAGGACGGACCACCTGTGCGTCCCCGGAACCAGACAGGCTGTCGCTTCTGAGCTCCGACAGCAGCAGGACCAGTGTGATCTCCTCCTGCTCATCCACATCCACTGACTCCTCTTCCAGTTCCTCCTCCGAGGAGTCCACCAGGGAGCTGCCCATGGACCTGGCCGCGGCCAAGGAGACCGTCACCATCCTGCAGCACAAGGTGGCTGGGGCCGTGGCCAGCCTGATGGTCTTCGTGAATAGAAGGTGGAGGTGCCGCGAGCACCTGGAGGCCAGCCTCCGCCAGGTCCACCGGGCCGTGGAGCGCATCGAGGAGGCCGTGCGGGAGTTCCTGGCCTTTGCCCAGGGTGTCCAGGACATGGCCTGCCACCTCAGTGACCGGGCTCTGCAGGCCAGGATCCGGGAGCAGCTGCACACCGTCTCCTGCTCCCACCAGATCCTGTTGGAGACCAAGCAGAGCCTGGACAGCTGCCACTGGTCCCTGGAGGCTCTCGTGATGGACAACGTCCAGAACAGCCCAGACAACCTGGAGAGATTCGTCATGGTGGCACGGATGGTTCCGGAAGATGTTAAGAGGTTCGCCTCCATGGTCATTGCCAATGGGAAGCTCCTTTTCAAGCAGAGTGGTGACAGGGACGAACCTCTGCAGTGGCAGTCACATGCAGACGTCAAGTCCCCCAAAAAAGAAGTGGGGCCATGCTCTGGGAGCAGCCCCTCTGGAGCCCAGAGGAAACAGGATCATTCCCCAGAGTTAGGGAAGAAAAACTGGACCCAGGTGAGTTCCAAGGCCCTGGTGGTCCCCTTGGTCACCTGGAGGTGTGTGCCATGGAGTTATATGCTGAGGCCCTGATGGTGTGAAATTCACAAGAGAGGGATTCTACACACAACCTGATAGTCAGCGAGGCACGTAACGTAATATTCCCAGTAACCAAGCCCAGTGCAGGAGCTGACTCGAACTCACAGTGATTCTCCAACAGGCTTCCTTCGGGGGTCGTACACCTTAACAGGAGGGGGCTCCCCGTCTCTATCCGGTGATGTTGGTGGATTTGAACCAGCGGAGATGCTTGGCTTTTGGTTAACACTGCAGCAGGCCAAGGACGACACACCAGAGATCCTTAACGTAATATTAAGGCAGACTTAAAAAAAAAAAGTTGCCATCGATTCAGTTCCAACTGACTCAGCGTGACCTCTTGTGTCACAGGAGTGCTCTGTGGGGTATATGATGGCAATATGGTTTTGGAAGTCCACTGCCAGGCCTTTCCTTCTGGGCACCTCTTAATAGGCTCAAAACTCAGATCTGACTGACCGTCGAGTGTATGGACGGTTTGCACCACTCCATCAAGGCAGGTGGGCCGGAAATCAAACCCACTGCCTGAGTCTATCCGGGTTCCTGGCGACCCTCCCCGGGTCTCCCCAGCTGTAAATCTTTGTGGGAGGAAGGAGTCACTAGTGGTTTCAAACCGACGCCTGATTAGCAGCATGTCACATACACACCCCACCAGAGCGTCACAGCCTTGTTCTTGTTGTTGTTGTGTACCGTTGAGTTGGAACTGACCCATGGCTGACAGAGGTAGTAAATCACACAGGAGGAGACCACCCATCCTTCTTCCACGGAGTAGCTGGTGGATTTGAACCACATGCCTTAAGGATTGTGGCGCAGCTTCTTGCCACTAGGCCAGGAAAGCTCCCAGTGCCTTGAGTTAGCAGAGCAGTTCCTTACCACTGAGGCCTCAGAGCTTCCTCTGCAGATCTGTAGATAGACAGGTACATCCGGCTACCGCCACGTTAATTCCAATTCCTGGGAGCCGCACGTGTCTGCAAGCAGAACCAGAGGGTTCTCTGGCTCCGACCTTACAGAGGTGTCACCAGGCTTTTACTTTGACAACTTTAGAGCATTGAGCAAATGTTGCGGTATTTGGGTTCCTTACTGAGAAAATGGAATATTAGCCATACTCCCCAAGTTATTTTTGTTCCCTGACATATGCTTCCAAGCCCAAGGTGGGCGATTTTAATCTGCGGCCCTCAGGCTTGGTTTAAATTGTTTTTTGTCAAACATTCTTCTAAGTGGCATAGCACTGGTCTGTGCATTGCTGTACAGAGGTAACTGGTGGTTGCTGTGATGCTAAACACTGTGACACTGATGTGTCAGATGTGATCATGGTCACCCATGGGTGGACAGTGTTGGCTGGAGCTTCCTGATTAAAACAAGCCTGGAAGCAGGAGCGGCAACCACTTCTTAAACGGCTTGCCTCCGGAAACTCTATGAACAGTGCTCAGGTCTTCTGTTTGTAGGGTCGCTATGAGTCATCTACGACTGGACAGCATCTAACAATAACAACAGATGGGGGGCGGGGAATCCCAAGCAGCAGAATAGCCCCCCAGCCTGCCCGCTGATCCTCTCACCTGTTCTCTCTGCCTCCCCCCAGAACCCCATCGCTTCCACACCACAGCACCTGAGTCAGCAGAACCTTGAGAAGAAGACCCCCCTTTCCGAGCACTGCCGGCTCTACTTCGGGGCGCTCTTCAAGGCCATCAGCGCGTTCACCAGCGGCCTGGACAGCGGCCAGCGCCCCGAGACCCTAATCACGCAGAGCAAGCTGGTCATCGTGGTGGGGCAGAAGCTGGTGGACGCCATGTGCAAGGAGACGCAGGAGCAGGACGCGCGCAACGAGATCCTGCACCACAGCAACCAGCTGTGCGGGCTGCTCAAGGACCTGGCGCTGGCCACAAAGGAGGCCGTGCTGCGGCACCCCAGCCCCGCCGCCCTGCAGCGCCTGCAGGACCAGGCCGAGAAGCTGGAGCAGCACACGCGCCACTTCCGGATGGTGCTGGAGTGAGGCCCCGACCCTCCACCCCAACCTCCCGGCCTCAGCATCACACCCACCACGTGGGCGCTGCCCACAGCCACCACCACGGTGCCCAGGGCCTGAATCACCAAGGGACGAACAGACCTCTTAGGACACAGTGCTTCCTCACTTGGATGGGAACCGAAAGGCCAGCAATTGGAACCCACCGTTGACCTCGGCAGAGAGACGATGCAGTCTGCTGCCATAGAGATCTGCAGCCTTGGAAACCCAGCAAGGTCATTCTCCTCTCTGTGTCGTGGTGTCGTTAGGAGGCAGAGTCAGCAGGACCCCAGTGGGACCTCAGAGCACTGACTAAGCCCGCAGCAGGTCGGGGGGAGCTCCGTGTGAAGTAAGATTTTCACAGTGTTGTGTCCGAAGTGATTTGTGAGAAATCAGTGTTCATGTTGGTGAACTGTGTTCCTGAGTTCAATCCTTACAACGCTTATGTATTGAAGCCCTGCTGCATGTTGACTTCTGGGCTCTAGAGAAAGGGCAATGAGGCAGAGGTCAGTCAGGGCGAAGAAAGGCAGCAGCAGCAGCAACAGTGTGCCGGGGTGGAAAGGCAGCGAGGGAGCTTGGCCTCCCAGCATTCGTTTCTGTTGCATCAGTTAGAGAAGGCATGTTTCTCATCTTGGATAGAATTCTTTCGGTAACGTTGTTCACACTATGCACACGTCCTCCTCACTTACCAGCTATCTCATCACCTGACATTTTCCATTTACAACAATATCAAACCAACCCGCTACCGGATGCCATTCTACCATTGGGAGGGCCCTAGTGGTGCAGAGGCTGAAGTGCTCGGCCACTAACGTAAAGGTCAACGGACAGCTATAACCCCCCAGCTGCTCGGGAGGAGAAGGACTGGGTGGTCTGCTTCCGGAAAGACTGATGGGAGCCTGATGGGGCCGTGCGTCTCGGACCTACAGACTCTTATCTCCATGACTACGAGTTTACTGCAAGAGTTTGCCATCGGACTTTTTTGCATATTGAGGACGTACGTCTGATGATAGAGAATGTTGAACTCTGAAGCATGAGGGGGAAATAACACAGGCCGTAAGAGCTGTGGGCCACGGTTCTCGGTGCTTTGGCAAGTATGTGATGTGCTGGTGTAATCTGCCCGTGGTGTCATCCTCCAGTTCTGATCACCTCCCAGATCTGCAAAGCATCTGGTTTTTTGCAACCTAAGCATGTTAATGTGAGGGGTCGTTATACCTGTGACATGCAGCTATCTAAATTATCTACAGTGTGACTTGTATGAGAGCCAGACCGCAGTGAGGCGCCCTTGCTTCCCTGGTCCCACAAGTCTTCCACCTTTGTCACGGTGCAGCCCTCCCACTTCTCCGCCACTCATTCTAAAGGAAGATAGTTGTGTTTTTCTTTGATGGTTTTATGCCTTACATAAGTTCTGATGTTCAAGAATACACACACACAATTTTGTCTTAACCTAGTTAAAGATGCATATTTACAGCCTAATATGGTCTGTTGGGTTCCCTGTTAATTTATTCTTGTACATTATAGACTTTGTGCTGATAGATTCTGTATACTGTGTTGATAAAGTCTAGGCTTAAACCATTTTCTGTGACAATGTGTAATATTTAAATATAATTATGGTTGTCAGTGGCTTTGTACTCTTCCTGTCTTTGGAAACTCTGTTCACATCGCATGTGTTCTGATATGAAAGCCAAGTCTCCACGTTTACTAACACTCAAAATCTTCTTCCTGCAGCCCACTGAGAGGCAATGGGGGGTGGGCTTGGGGCCCAGGCAGCATGGGGAAACCTGCCATCTATGGTGTTATGGCGGGAAGGTGCCATGTGGACAGGATGCCCAGTGCTGGGCACAGACCTCAAAGTGGTGCCTGGCTGCCCTCAATTCAAACCACCTCCACTTCCTCCCCTGACAGCTGTGCGTTTAATCTCAGTGTTGCCATGGTTACACCATCCTTCACTTGAAGTGAAGGTCCAATCTCTGTATTCATCTCAGCCACATAAACACCTTTGCAGCCTGCAAACAGCCTCCTCTCCAGTGGCCCCAAGTCCAGCTCCTGTCTGCACTTGGTGAGCGGTTGCTGTTGAGTGGATTCACACTCCCGGTGTCCCCACGTCTCAGATCAGACCTGTGCTCCGATGGTTTACAGTGACAGAGCTTGCAGAAGTAGCTTGTCAGGCTTTTCTTCTGAGGGACCTCTGGGTGGGCTAGAACCCCTAACATTTGGCTCTGTACTCCATTGTGTTCACCATTTGTACCACCCAGGGAATCTTGCACTAGATCCCCAAAACCCAACTTTGTTTCCATCAAGCTGATTTCAACCCATGGAGACCCTGCAGGACAGAGGAGGACAGCCCTGGAAGGGCACCAAAGCTACGACTCTCCACAGAAGCAGAATGGCTATGGTGGCTGGGCTGAGCTGGCCTTGACTCATGGTGACCCCACGTAACACAGAGCAAAACCCCGCATGACCCAGTACCATTCTCACAGCTGGCGCTATGTTGGAGCCCAGTGTCGCAGCCGCCGTGACAACCCACATCATTGAGGATTTTCCTCTTTTTCACTGATCCTCTACTTTTCCAGACATGATGTCCTTCTCCAGGGACTGGTCCTTCGACATAACATGTCAAAGTATATACACCACACTTGGCATACTCACCTGTAAGGAGCACTGTGGCTGTGTTTACCGGAAGTCTATGCTACTATTCAATATTCTCCTCCAACATCACAATTCAAAGGCATCAATTCCATTTCAGTCTCTTTATTCATTGTGCAGCTTTCACATGCAAATGGGATGATGGAAAATACTGTGGCGCAGACAGGCTCACCTTAGTCCTCCAAGTAGCATCTCTGCTTTTTAACACTTTCTGCAGCAGGTTACCCCAATCAGTGCTTCATTTGATTTCCTGGCTGCTGCTTCCCTGGGTGGTGTTTGTAGATCCAGGTAACATGAACTGGATTAGGAGAGTCTGCTGTCGGGGACTTCTCTATGCTGAAGTGCAAAGATGTCAGTCTAGAGACTAAAGTGCATGTGATCCAGGTCATGGTCTGTGCTATTACTTGCTATGCATCAGAGAGCTGGACAATGACTACGGATGAAAGAAGAATTGACGCCTTTGAGTTGTGGTGCTGGAGAAGAGTATTGAACATACCACGAACTGGCAAGAGAACAAACAGGTCTGTTCTGGAGAGGGTGAAACCAACTTGCTCTCTGGAGGCAAGAATCTTGAAGCTCCTTCTCACACACTTTGGGCATATTGCCAGGAGGGACCAGACGTTGGAGAATGACATCATGCTTGGAAGGGTGGAGAGACAATGCAGGAGAGGAAGACCCTGGAAGAGATGGACAGACACCGTGACTGGGGTAACAGTGGCAGGTGTGTTGGAGACAGTGAGACTGGCTCAGGAGAGGACAGAGTTTAGAGCTATCTTGCGTAGGGTCATTATGAGTTGCAGGCAACTTGACAGCACATAACAACAATTGTCTCAATAACGGAAAGTCATCCAGAACTCGACTAGCTTTACACCTGCTTGGTTTCAGGGGCCTCAGAAATGTCATGAGGACCCTGTCTCGGTCCCACTTCCTCTAGGTTGACTTCCGGGATTGCAAAGTGCTACTTCAAACTGCACCCTCTTAGACATATGCGCAGAAGAGAATAAAGAACAAGAGATTTCTCTGCAGGTACCTGTTCCTGAAGGTTCTATGATGGGCATCAGCACACAATGCCCTGGTCAACCTAGACCTGAGATACATACCTATCACAGAGAGGCAAGGACTTGGCCACTACCATGAGGTGGCTGAGATGCTGTCTAACCCATCAGTCGAGGGTCTTCCTCTCTTTCTCTGACCCTCTGACCGTTCCCGGCATGATGTCTTTTTACAATGACTCGTCCCTCCTGACCACACGCAGTGCGTGAGACAAAGCTTCACCCTCCGGCCTCTAAAGATCACCCCAGTTGCCCTTCCTCCAAGACGCACTTATTCGTTCTTTTGGTGTCCGCAGGATATTCAATACTCTTTACCAATACCGTAAGTCAAAGTTACCGAGTCTTCTCTGGTCTTCCTGATTCGTTGTCAACTTTCACATGCATAAGAAGCAAGTGAAAAATATCATGGCTTAGGTCAGTATTCCTTAGTGTTCAAACTGGGACATGCGTGTGTGTGTTTTTTGTAAAAGTACATATATTTTATAAAATGTAATTTTCTATTTTGACATATTGATATTCTATGTTTAACAAATACTACAAACTTGGGTATATGATATATATCATTTTAGATATTTAATATATTTTTAAAAATACTTCAAACCAAGGACATTTGTTCACAAAATACAAAGCCATTAAGCTTAAAATAATGAAAAATGCTGCCCTTAGCTAAATGTGTTTCCTTCCCTTTTTGGAAAGAGAAGGACCATGGGTGGAGTCTCCACTGTAGGATATCTCATTCAGTAATATACTTACTTCTGAAAATGTTTTAAAGAGAGATTATTTTTTTTTTCTTCAGTTTGACAGCTTTTGCTAAGCATTTTTGTTTAAAGCCTGGAGGTCGATACCATTTCCTCCCAGGAAGGAAGAGGAAGTGGTGGGTGGCCTAGTGATATGGTGATGGTGGCAACCTGACCTCAGTTAACTTAAACTTCACCAGGATGGAAGTGGTGAGGACCCCAATTCAGAGATCTTCCTATGTGACAAGCCCGGGGGAGTTAGGTTTCTGTTTGGCTGTTATGGTTTTTCTACACAACATCTATTTTTAAATAAGACATCTTTCATTTTTTTCCTGAGCGTGCATCCTCTACCTCCCAATGTCCGCTCTATGTCCACTCAACGAAGCGACTGACTGCAAGCCCTTTCCATTGCATTTGGTCACTGAGCAAATATTTCCAGTCAGCCTGCTCATTTCTGATCACCGAGATACTGCAGAGAACAGATACAGCTCAGCCGTCATTACGCTTCCAGACCAACTGGGGAGCCAGGAAGTCTGGGCCAGGGGTAGGATGAGGATAG